GTTGCCGTTTTCAATGCATACAAGTATATGTTGCCCTTTCAGTACCATTTTTTACGAGATTGATTGATTTTTGTTCTGTCCTGAAGCGAGCAGAATTGAAACGTGTTATAAAAAAACAATGTAAAAAAAAGAAAAAATCAATATCTCTCCGTTTGTTTTCATCCTCTCATCCTCCTACGCCACAACTTCTTTTAAAATGACCTTGGGTCAGCCATCTACTCCCAAGTTACCCCAGCAACCACATATCACCAGGACAACCACAAGCACTGCTGTGCATAGGTATGATGTGCAGCACCCCGTGGCTATTTCTATCAAGGTTTTTGTTTACATTAAGTGACATGTGCAGTGTGTGTGTAATGTCTGCTATAGTAGGAGCTTCTCATTATTCTAGCAACAGACAAACAAACAAAAACAACAGAGATCCTGCTTTTCATTTGACTGAATTTGGGCCATTTTCCAAGGTTAACAATACAAACAAATGCAATTCAAACCCTTGTGATTCTATCAACTTTGCAAACAATAAAACCGATGTTAACTCACCTTTTAGCTCTCTTATGTTCCCCATTAACTTCTGAGGGCAATATCTGGCTCTTTAGCAGAGTTAATGCAAAACATGTGAGAGTCAAAGATAACTGAACTGCATTATCATCTAAATAGGATTTATTGTCCTTATTGTTTTATGACATGATACTGTGTTTTTGCTGCATTGATATATGTGTATAGATTAATAGCATACCGAGCTGTAGCAATGCCACTTTCCAGATTCGGAACAATTGAAAGGAAATAAACACTGGTGCTAGTTTATAGAAAGTCTGTAAAAGGAGTATCACATTCATAACTCAGATACCATCGTTATTATTTTAACTTTAGCTAATGTTACCTCTATGCAAATAGCTTGTATAGGTGTTTCTCTCTTCTCTCCTTGGCGACTTGAGACCCTGTTAGGGACTTTATTTCTTGCCACAAGGTGAGCAATATATTCAAATAAATGATATTGTAATTTATTCACATACATTCTCCTCAGAGAAATCGCACAGACCAGCTCTTCTCCCAAACCCTGCAGGGTCTCTCCCTCTTGATGCGGCAGGAGTGGGAGATGATACAATATAATAACCACATCTTTATACCTTAGAGTCCCTCCTGCACTGTATGGACACACTGTATAATGGACATTTTCCTTGCTCTTAGACACATACTGTAGAAGCAGCGGGTGAGTCTTTTAGAAAAATAGGAATTGGATCTTGCCAAGTAAATAGAAATGATTCCCTTTTTCCCTTTTAATGTGTCTCTGTGCAGGCCCTGCAGACAGCGTGCGAGGAGAAGTCAGTTATTTCATCTGCTTCTCACCAAGACGTTAAGTGCTTGAGGAGTTGCAGAGAATAGAGTGCAGGATCAGAGAGCCATCTTTGTTTTTCCCTGAACAGCAGTTTCCCCCCAAGCTACTAGTAATGAGGACGGCTGTTCGATAGCACCTTCCCAGCTGAAGAGGCGCCACTGTATTTCCCATCCCACTCTTCCTACGTATTTTACAACAACCCTCCCCCTCCCGCAATCCATTCATCACACTCAAAATGCCTCTCTCTGGCCGAGCTCATCTCCAACACCTCAGAGGAAGATTGATTTGTTTGTGTAGAGAGGCAAAGATGGCGCAAAGGGACCAAGAAGGAGCAAGAGAAAAGACAGAGGTGGGAATCGAGGAATATGGGAGTATAGAAAGACTGATACAAAAGTGTTTTCTGTATGTGTGTGCCAAAGACTCCACCAGTCAATCAGTGAGCGACGATTTTTCACTCCTTCTCACCCCCCTGTAGCGTTCACTCACCTGTCTCTGCCTGTGCTGTACCAGTATATTTAATCTCCTCTGCACAACGTGAGCAGAATGGAAAATATTTGACTGTTTTACCTGAAAGACGTGAACATTTTGACATTTTTAAATAGTCCGTTTTGGAAAGAGAACCCCCGTTAGTTGAGATTTTCTGTTGAGCACTGGATAGATCACGGTGCAGACAATGTGCAACGTAGGTACATGTTTAATAATCTCTCTGAACTAGGAATGTAGGAATGTAAATGGACAAAAAATGCTGTGTTATGATCTATTATGCTTTCATTTTGTGGTCTGTGGAAGGAAACTCAGGAGTTCTTGGCAAACGTCTGAGTCAGCCTTTAGAAACTGAGTTCTGCTCTTGTCAGCTTACCATCTTTCATTTATGCGGTAGGAGAAAATGTTTTAGGGAAATGAAGTGAACTCATTCTCATTGAGAACAATTGGCTTTATAATGGTTTAATTCATGCCTGAAATCTGCACAGCTATTTCCCTTTACTGTACAGTCTGCCTTGTAAAATGTCTAGATCTAATTATATTGTCTTTTTTTATATTGAATTTTGGTTCCAGGGTCAGAACCACAGCCAGAGAGCCCTGCCTCCAGATGTAAACGGTCAGGTCCACTCCACTCTTGCTAAACACGGTTCACTGGTTTTGTCGAGCCCTTAACGACCAGCATTTCAGCAGAGCTTCTAAAGCACATTTATGGTGTCCTCCAGGGTCAGACGAATATATTGGTTTGCCAATATTGGCTTGTTGAGGAAACAAATGATGTCATCTAGGTCTATTATGATGCAGTTTGATTGGCTACTAATTACTCACTTTTGCACAAATTACTTTTTTGTTTTGTTTCAACACTGAACTGGAAATCCCACACCTTGAATTGATCGTATCTCACCTTAGCCCTAGTTGCTTTCAGATGATCTGATAGCCATAAATGATGCAGCGCAACAAGCTGTATGATCCTGAGGAGAAAGCAAAGAACATCATTGGTCAACAGGGGAGTCTGTTATTACTCTATTATGACTCCACTCTCGGACCAGGTGGGCGGGACATAATGCCCTTTCATTTATTTAATTATCATTGGTGCTGAACGCTGTCTGTGCTGACAGTGATGGGCTTTGAACCCGGCAGGGAGTGGCTAACTGGCCTCTGATGAATGATGCGTAGTGGTTGCCAGTTCAGAGGCCACTGTGGTTGGGCAATGTGTTAAACTCTAACTCTCCACCTTTATTTGATAACATAATCCCCTCCTTAAGCAACACCAACCTCCTGCCCCTGAACTAATGTCTTTGAAGCCTGCTGTGCTGAGGATGGAAGTTAAAGCACTTGTTTCATTAGTAGTAAAGGCAGTATTTTTGAATTGATAGAACTGGTACTTTAACAAGACGCTGAAGATGATTTTGTCTAAGTACAAGTTGACCTGATGTCTTATAGATCCTAACAATCTTACCTTAGAGCTACTTCATAATCTGAATATCCTGATCTTTCTTTCCCCCAGAAAGCTTCCTGTCCAATATATCCTTAAATCTGACAATCTCTGTACTGTATGTTGCAACTTAAAGTTATCCAGATGTAGTTTTTAACAAGTAGTACACATATTGTACATGTAGGGCATGCAGGTGAGGCGATAGACAGTCCTGCCAATGTGTTGCACTATTCCATTAATTGACAGGTACAAAAACAAGGTGGATGTAATAAATACACTTCAGTATAGTTGTATGATGGTAGGAAATGCATGTTGGTTTTACCTCAAGGTTACAGACATGTAGTTGAGCAACACTGAATGTACATAGAAACTTTGCTTCCAAGAAACTGCACAGAGACCCTTTAACTCTAGAGATAAAATGTTGTCTCTTTTTCTAAGTAATTACACTGTCTAGTTTCATACTGCAGCTGGGTCTTTCTGTTTGGAGCTGACAGGTGTGTAACCCTGCAGAAGTCCTCTGTTGCTTTATCTCTCCGCCATGGTTTAATAAGGAGTCTCAAATATTTGTTTTCACATCGCTATTGTATCAACCGAGCTGTCATTTGTCCTGCTAGCTTGAATGTTTTGCCGTTGGAACTTTGCCCTCTCCGACAGCAAGTCACTTCTGCTGTCAGTAACTGACTGCATACTTTAGAACAATACATGATTGAAAATGTATATCCCCCTCCTTCCCCTCTGTGCAGTAACTGATCTGATGCAGGTGCACGGTGCTGCATTAATTTGCATATTAACAGGATAAAATGCCAAGAGACTCGTTCCCACAATAACTCAAGAGCTATACATGACAGAAACATCATATAGAGAGGATGATCTGATTACCTTCTGGATCAGCTTGTGCATACATTTGCATTTTGATGAAGATAGAAATGGCAGCACATGAGGTAATTTAGCTGCAGTTTGTTTGTTAACTGTCAAAAAGCCATACAGCTGGTTTGTGAAATGTCACATGTCTAATTCAATGTTTCAATTAAACAACTAATGAAGCTCCCAGTCCTGTCTTAAGCATGAATATTTCCCTTTGTGCCTTTTAGAGATTGGAACCACATAAGTAAACAGTCAGATGTACAATAGCATGCAAATGTATCAGAGAGATATTATGGAAATCATTCTGTCACCGGTTGTGAGAAACTGAGAACAACTCTTAACTGAACAGAAGGAACACATGACAAACAGATGGAAGCATTCAGCTGAATCTCTGTTTTTGTATTTATTACATTGAGAAACTGACAGTTGATTTTGTCAGACAGTGTTTTCAAATGTCATTTCGTCATAGAAGGCAGATGCTGATGTCGGGCTGGTCTGCTGCTGTGAGATTTCTGATATAATCTTGCTTACAGAGCTGGATCGATTGGGTTAATCATGCTCTGGGTGGGCCAGCAGCTCTGACAGAAGCCTCTGCTGCATGTGGCGCACAGTTGGGTGGTGTAGTAGAGGAGGGCCCATAGGAGCTGTCATAGTTCTGCATAATGTAGGTTAAAGCTGCTGTCAGAAGCAATGCAGGCCACGACCACACACACTCTTTTGATCAGGAAGGTTGGACATTTGCATAGAAAGCAGAAAATCCTAAGTTGTGTCAGACTTTGCTTTCCACCACAGACCCAGATTTGTTTGTGCTTTGAGTAAAACTGCATGCGTCCCCCACAAAGATATGAGTCTTCATCCATGACTTTTTCCCATTTCTCTCATCAGAAACTGGCTCTGCGATCACCTCCTCATGCATCGGTCTGGGAAACTCTCTCACGCCACCTGCAGGTCAGGCTGGAAAACCAGTTCCAGGTTACAATGGTAAGAGTCAGAATCCACATCTCATCTACATTCTATATTTAACATACTGGTCATGATTTTAAAGTCAGAATTGCTTCCCCTTAATAACAAGCAACGGATAAACGAAACTGAAATGGATACAATTAGAAAAACTGCTTGTCATTCTCTGCAGATCATTATATTTCTGCCTCTCCAGTGGGTGATACACCTCCTCTGAATATGAATTGCATGCCTTTTCATTTCCACTAGTCACAGTGATCGATGATGACATGCAGGAGGTGAAGCCAAGAACCCTGGGAAATATTGTGGTGGGGTAAGCCGAGTGAATTTGCTCAGCAGCTTAGTCACTGCTTTACCTTTCACACTTTTGAAATGTGACATCAAAGCATTTTGCATGGCCTTATCAAATGTAAACTCCAATCTTTTACTCATTAATCTAAATAATTCACTGTCAGGCAGCTTGTATCTGACTCCAAATCAACTGTTGCCAGGCTAAAGAATGAAAGGTGTTTGTCTGGTTATGTAAAAGAACTGCCTGTGCAAATTAGAGCTGATCAAAAGCTCTAGCTGCAGGCCCTTCGCCCTTTGTGCTGCCTTATCTTCAGCCTGCTACCTATCTGTTATCACTCTCCAGCTCCATTTCCCTGTTATTGGTAACCGCTGGTATCGACTCACTGCCAACACAGGGGATTTCCAAGCAGTTCACATGTGCAATGCATACAGAGATAAGCACAGGTAGAGCTGGAAACATCCAATCATATTCAATATTTACACAGAGTGAGGTTGTTGCAATGTGCCTTCGAAGCTTGAGTGTCAAGTCTAAATGTATTTTAATTTGTTCTGTAATTATTATATAATGTTGCTTTGTTTAGCTTGTGTGTGTAGGAAGCACTCAGCAGGGACTCATCAAATGAAAAGCAGGCAGCAAAACTCCGACATTATAAGTTTATGATGCTAAATATTCATACAAGAGTTTGACTGCCTTCTTAAACATACTGTAGGATAGGGTCGATTTTAAAAAAATCCTCTTTAAGCAGCAAATAGACACAGGAAATAAGATATTCGCTGAGATTTCATATTCTCCTTGCAGAGGCATGAGAGTTCCAACATGGGAAATGGTAGTTTGCTAGTCTCTCAATAAACAAAGACTGAGTAACCTACAGTTGCAAGAAAAAGTGTGAACCCTTTGGAATTACCTGGATTTCTGCATAAGTTGGTCCTAAAATGTGTTCTGATCTTCATCTAAGTCACAACAATAGACAAACACAGTCTGCTTAAACTAATACCACACAAACAATTATATGTTTTCATGTTTTTATTGAACACACCATGTAAACATTCACAGTGCAGGGTGGAAAAAGTATGTGAACCCCTAGGCTAAAGACTTCTTCAAGAGCTAATTGGAGTCAGGAGTCAGCCAACCTGGAGTCCAATCAATGAGACGAGATTGGAGGTGTTGGTTAAAGCTGCCCTGCCCTATACAAAATACACACCAGTTTTGAATGAGCTATTCTTAAGAAGCATTGCCAGATGTGAACCATGCCTCGCACAAAAGAGCTCTCAGAAGACCTACGATTAAGAATTGTTGACTTGCATAAAGCTGGAAAGGGTTACAAAAGTATCTCTAAAAGCCTTGATGTTCATCAGTCCACCGTAAGACAAGTTGTCTATAAATGGAGAAAGTTCAGCACTGTTGCTACTCTCCCTAGGAGTGGCCGTCCTGTAAAGATGACTGCAAGAGCACAGCGCAGAATGCTCAATGAGGTGAAGAAGAATCCTAGAGTGTCAGCTAGAGACTTAAAGAAATCTCTGGCACATGCTAACATCTCTGTTGACGAATCTACGATACGTAAAACACTGAACAAGAATGGAGTTCATGGGAGGACACCACGGAGGAAGCCACTGCTGTCCAGAAAAAACATTGCTGCATGTTTGAAGTTTGCAAAAGAGCACCTGGATGTTCCACAGCACTACTGGCAAAATATTCTGTGGACAGATGAAACCAAAGTTGAGTTGTTTGGAAGGAACACACAACGCTATGTGTGGAGAATCCAAAGGGTTCACATACTTTTTCTTGCAACTGTATCTCTATTAATTCACCACGAGTGTGTGTTTGTGTGCCATGTATATGTGTGTATCAGGCAAGGGGAAGCCTAGTATAGACTATCTGTATCCCTGGACAATTATCTATTCTTTTATTGGGTAAAATCTAAGCTCTTTATGCAAACATTCAAGTAGATAGTCATTTTAATAAAGTAAGTGATGCTTAGTGTCAAGCTACAAGTCTTGCATGCCTACCTTTGTTATTGTGTGGATGTCATGGCACAAGCAATACATTAAAAAGGAATTTAAACCCCTTTTTCCTCCAGACTACCTTTACCACCCGGTGCAGCATTGTCCCTGTGGCAGAACCATGATCTGTTCAAGGAGCTCTACTTCACTAAGTTCCCGGTATGACAATAATTAAATTCCTGAAATAGTGATGTTTATTGTTCATTGGATAATGTGCGTCTCATTTGATTTAGAACAATGGTGTTTGAAGTTCTGTTCAATTCCTTTATCTACAACACTGAACTACTAATGCAGCAGAGTGGGTTGTGGTCAGTTGTGGAAGAAGGGGGCCCTCTAGTGTTCAAATGTTTTATAAAAAGGTCGTGTGGCTTTTTCCCCATAGAAAGACCTCAATTCAAATTGATTAAGATTTGTTGTGGTTTGGTGAAATTGTATCTAATGACGACGTACTCCTGAAGAGAAATGTCAACATTCCTTTTTTTTATGTTTTTGTTTGTGTACCTCCGCCATGGATGATATTAATACGCTATAACAATTGAATGCTTTTTAATGTTATGAGGTTTTCAAGAAGAAAATCGCATCGTTTTTCCTGATATTTCCTACACATATACTTTGTTGACTTTCTGAAATGTTAAATATTTTTTTCAATATTTTTCAGATTTTTTCAACATATTCTATTTATGTATTTTTTCTTGAATTTTCCACACAGGATTTATGTCTTTTTTCTCACATTTTCGACAAACTACATTATGACTTTTGTTGTCGTGTTTTACCATACTATGGCAATATTTCCAAAATTAGACATACTATATTATGTATTTTTTTCTGACCGAACAATTCGTTTTTTTTTTATATAAACTTTGTCGTGTTTTCTCAAATGTTTCGATATACATTACTCTGTTTTTTCTGATATTTGTACCATTACTGAACATTTTTTCTTGCATTTATCTTATTCATATCTGTCCCACCATCAGGGTTACTATGACACCATGGATGCAGGCTATGTAGATGAGGAGGGTTTCCTTTACATCATGTCCCGGTCTGATGATGTCATCAACGTAGCTGGCCACAGGCTGTCAGCTGGAGCATTGGAGGAGGTAGGAGAAAGCTTTCTGAGGAGGCAACACAGATATTTTCCAAACTCTTCTATTGTAGTATTTTAATATATATGTGTATGTTTTTCAGTCAGTGCTGCAGCACCCTGCGGTGGGGGACTGCGCTGTGGTGGGTCTGGAGGACCCTCTGAAGGGTGTCGTTCCACTGGCCCTGTGTGTACTCAAGAACGGTGAGGCATGACAGATGTAACGTTTAGAAATACATCAAGTAGTATCTGAATTTGATCATGTTTCTTTCTTTATTTTGGTAATACCACACTTTTTACCTTCATAATGTACAATCCTGGCAACAAAATAAAACATATCTGAATTGAAATCCTAGGTTATCACTCCATGTGCTGTTTGTTTCAGGTGTGCAGAAAAATAAGGAGGAGATCGTAGCTGAGATGGTGAAGCTGGTGAGAGACACCATCGGACCAGTGGCCGCCTTCAAGAAAGTGCTCTTTGTCCGAGGATTGCCGAAGACGCGCTCTGGAAAGATCCCTCGCTCCTCTTTAGCCAACCTGGTCAACGGCAAGCCGTACAAGGTATGACAACCCTCAAAGAAATATTCTGTGCTTTATTCTCCATCACTAATAGTTTTGAAAGTTAATTACAGTAGGAGACAAAAACTGAGGGGACCTTTTAATGGTTCATCTTTCTTCTCTTGTTTTCGTCCTGTGTGTAGCGTTTCACAGCTGCTCAGGGGACAGCAGTTTATTCTAATAATTCCGATTTTGAGTAATGATGGTGCATTAGCAGGTGCTGAACTCATTAAGTAGAGCTGAGGGCTCGTTTGGGATTTTTCCTCATACAGTAGTTACCATCTCAGTTTTTGCTGATAAGGTGCTCAAGAGAGAAGTGGATGACACACTAAGAAATTAGTTCTTAATATAGTAGTTGATTACAGATGTAAACGCAAGGTTTCTTTGGCAACAACTGAAAGGCCTAAATGAAGGACTGTAGGACTTTTGCATATTACAATCATAATTTGACCATTATTGTAATTTCTAATCATTAAATGATTGCTCTAATTAGGTGATTATTTAGAGATGTTACCATGCTAAACTCTAGTTGTTTTATTGATCTTTGTTGTCTGAAAAATGTCACATTTTCCAACAGATCACTCCAACAATCGAGGACCCAGAAGTGTTCAAAGATATCGAGAGTCAATTAGAAAAATTGCTGAAACCTCACGGAGCCTGAACTCACCTTTTAATGTACTGTAAGTTTTACCATCTAACCTTAGATAAATGTGCCAAATACATGAAGAACTTGAAACCGTACTGCCTTAGGTTTTCATAATTAACAAGTAGAGACACTATGGCAACTGTTTGTACAGAATACAAATAATAATAAACTCACTGACAGTAGTTTTTCTTTTATTGACAATGAAAATTTGCTTGCTCACCACTTAGTTTTGACAAAGTACAAGAAGTAATAAATAAAAAAGAATGGACACAAAATAAAATGATTCATCGTTCGTGCAAATTGAAGATGTAAAAACAAATCAAAAGCGTGAGACTTTTTGTTCCGAGTGGTCCATCAGAGATAACTAAAAGACAGAAAACAGGGCCGTACAATAGGTTGCCCTGAGAACTCCGACAGAAACAAAGAGTCAACAGTTACACCGATGTAAGTCACAGCAAGCAACAGTCATTAAATGTCACCTCACTTCATCAACATGGTCATATACACTCTACGCACACTATGAGCTAAAGCAGTCTGTCTTTCAGTTATTTCCTATGTCAACGTAATGTCTGGGGGGGAGGGGGGGGAGAAGGCCAGAGTGTGTTAATGTATCGCCCGACAAAACATACAGTACAACAAGTGACAGGTTCTATGAATGACGTCCTGCTTTTCTCTTTTGTTCTCTGAGATGAAGTTTTGTGCAACTTCGGAGCTCTTGTTTTGTCCTTGGCTACTAAAAGTCTGTTGAGTTGATGCGGTTGTATCAAAGTGCTTGTCATGTTCTCTTAAAATGCTCCTTTTTATGGCAGCAAGTGCATAAAAAGGAGAGTGAAGTGTTGTTGGTGTCAGAAATGGGGCTCAGAGTGGTTTTTGTGCACCACTAGAGGGCAGGTTTTCACATCCATCCTCTCTGTTTCATCATCAGCAGCACAATGAAAAAATAAAACCATATGTACAAAATGATCTAAGAGGGCGGGGTAATATGAACACATTTAAAAGAGCAGCATATATTAATCTATGGTCCACTAAATGAGGTGGCAGGGACGTTTTTTTGCACAAACTCTGAATATCTTTTTTTATACATAGATGTGTGTATATATATATTTAAAAAATGGCATTTATTTACAGATAACCTACACATCTCCTGTAGAAGAAATACACAGTACGTTATGCTTCGACAAGTTACTGTACATGTAAAAGGTAGAAACGGTGACAACGGAGCAGCCTGCGGGACAGTTTAGCACCGGCATCTGGTGCCCACGTTATAGGGAGGGGAGGAGGGGAGAGGAGGGAAGGAGGGGGGGCAGAGAGGGGAGCAGGGCTTCTTGGCAGTGCGTGTCGTCAGAGAGTTTGTTCCTCGGCATGTTGGCCCGTCCAGCAGCTCCACTGGTTCACCTCCGATCAGAACTGTACCTGAGGGGGGGAGAGTGTGGAGTTTTCAACGAGGCACTGGTGAGTCGGTGTGATTTAAAAAGAAAATCCTAAATTATACCATTCCAAGACTCTGATTGGAAATCTGTATTATGTCAATTAAGTGACATGTTGTTGTAGCTCATTATGGCGTATAGCTTAGAAGGTAACTTCGATGGTAGATTGTAAATTAAAGTAAGATATTAAAATGCTACTATATCTTTTGAACAGTATGGAATGTGAGTTTTGACTCATTTCTGTATGAAATACTATACTTTTTAATGTCATTTGAGTTTTTTTTTAACAAACTATACTATGACGTTTATTTACTTTAAAATAATTTTTCTAGACATAATTTGGGGATTTTTTCCACATACTATGCTAGAACTTTATTATTAAACATTATACATGATCTTTTATGACAAACGATACAATGATCAGTTTATTAAAAAAATGACTGTCAATTATTTGTTTCAACATAGCCTACTACTATTACTAATTGAATACGACTTTGGAAGCACTAGCATTAGCAACATATTGTAATTCTCAACAGTGAACAGTGATTTTCTAAACTTTTAAGTAAATACTGTATGTATAAAAAGTGTACGAAATGAAGGAAGTGAGGAAATCATACTAGAATATTTTTTTAAGGGCCTCTTCAAATGTTGCACTGAACAATATAAATATTTACAGGCTGACTGGTAAAAATTCCTGTGTGCAAAAAGAAGAATCAGTTTTTGTTTTCTACGCACGTGTTCTCTACCAGAACTACGCCCTTTGCTCTCACTAATCGTTGCACTATATTGTCTCTTTTTTGCTGTGTGGGAGTAGTTAAGCTGATGAAATCCTTAGAAACAGCCCACAGGGTGCTTCAAGGAATGAGCAAATTCTCCAGGAACTAAACAAAAAAATGTCATGAATATGTAACTCACACAAACTCTCCCTGCCTGTGCTTCCACATTGTATCTCTACCCTTAGCTGTTGTGTTATTTATTGTCCTAACACTCCTGTCTTATACAATAACCCTGCAGTCAAAGCACTATATCATTATTATACGATGATACTAAAAAGTTGTTGTTGAGATGGGAGTAAGCTAACCCAGCTAGGACCTGAGGCCAGGTACCCACTAGCATGCTCCTGGCTGGAGTTTGGGAGGTCACTTCTTCACAGAGAGATTTCTCCATTGCGTCATTCTGGATCAAGAGGGAGGAGCACAGGGCTCCAGTGCCCCCCCACTGAGGTGGGCTCTAATGGTGATTAACAACGTTGCCATGGAGTCAGGCTTTCCTGTTAAAGACGACAGCCATATTCTGCCCGGGGAATTCCCCATTGTTTTTTGATAGCGTCTACGTCTGTTATTTTTCATGGAAGTGTATCATATTTTTTGATGGGACTCTATCTTATGATACTTCTGGAATACTATCTTGCTATTCCATCAGTAGCTTTCTACATGTTGTCATTGTTAACATGCTTGTTGGGTGGCTAAACTTAAAAAAGCTATATCAGAAAGGGCACAACATCTCTATTTACTGCTCACTTTAGAGTACAATGAGCCAGTGAATGAGGGGGCAGGCAGGTGTTGAACATAGCTTCTGTTCCCTTTTGCATCAGGTTGTCACTACAGATGCAGAGAAACAGCAGAGTCAAATAGTGCAGCAAATTAAAGCAAATACCTGCGTGAGATGTCACATTTCCACTGCACCTGGCAGTACAAAGTAAACCATTACAAATACATCTAGGGCAAGCTCCCTTTGTAATGTGGAAAGTCTGGATAAATCTCACAGGGCCTATTTTTAGGAGTGTGAACTCATAACCTTTGTTAACGAGTCTCTGTGTAAGGTACTGAAGGAACGGCATGGATTTGAAGCAGATTTCTAAAGCTTGGGCCGTGACTGACTGAAAAGGACCGCTGCTAGCATAGCCGAGCTGCTAGCCGAGCTGCACCTCATCACGGCTCCCTGGCAAAATCACTGCACCAGCGTCAATGAGACAAACACTTATCTTTGGGAAACAATTGGCCTTCTTCTCTTTCATCTAGTACTTCTGAGGAGAGCATTTAACAGAGCGAGAGTCTGTGTTGTGTTACATACAGCGTACAGTTTAGGGGCCTCTCTTCCTCCTCTCAGCAGGAGTAGGTTCTCACCGTGGAGGTGTCCATCCGCTGCACCGTGGCCGATCCCACTGTGGGGTGGGGAGAAAGGGCTTTGAGTACATGTTACTACATGTTAGAGCATACTCTTTATACAGTGGTGGTGCAGGAATGAGTCGTAAAACTGGGATTGAGTCAGCATTTGACCACTTCTGGAATCCCTTGCCTCAAATTCAACATTTTTGGAATGTGAATTTGGTTAGATGTCGTAAGTAAGATCTGTGGTTAACACAAGGTTAAATACATCAGTAAATAACTCACCCGTGAATACCAACGCCTCCATGTGTCATGGCGGTTGCTACTGTTACAAGTGGTTAAATGAAACTAAACCTCATCACGTTGAACATTAGCCGCCTTTAGCTTAGCATAGTGTGATGTAGTTGGTTTATAGTCTAATGATAGCTTATAAAGTGGTGTTAATTTGGGCAGTTTATCCTGATGATCAACATGTGTAAGCATCATAAGCGTGTGTTTGCCACAGATCTTAATTTTTGAAAAATTAAATTAACAATTGAAATGTTTTCATACGTCATCACTGCACCACTAAAGATTGAGAGAGGAGGAAACATTCCTCCACTTGACCACCACCCTCAAAGGCACCTTTCTCACACATTGAGACCACTTGTTGTATCGCCCTCAGAGGAGGAGGCCCTGTATCACGCACTCAAAGAAAGGGGGTCTTCATTTTGAGTGGATAACAGCAGCAACAAGACTTTGAGTGTTTTGTGGACGTCACAGACCGGGGAGCACAGAGATAGAGACTAGGGGACGGGGGCAGGGAGGCTGTTTCAGTGTCAGTGGGGACACAGTGTTAGAGGAGAACACTGTCCGGAATCAGCAGGAGGATTTCCAGTCAGGTATCACAACTCTGGTGGCATCATTTGTAAAGAGACTTTCTAATTCACCGTGCATCCCTTTAGAGCATCATTTCCAGGTCATTATAACTTGGATCTTTACTTTAACAATGTGGTTGAAGGCTCCAAAACAAGGGAGTAAGAAGACATTAAGTTGATAGTATTTTATCTTCTATTAGTAGTTTTTTCCATTGTACTAACTAAACTTTGAACTTCAGTTTTTATACTGTGACCTAGGAATACGGAGACATTGCCTGAAAGAAGTTGGATGTCAGACTTTCATACAGTATAGGTTTAAAAAAAAAATGAAAGAAGTATTAGTTCGTAAGAGAGAAAAAAAAGCTGTTGTCAGGAAGCTTTGTCATAACTGTTATTACTGTTTTAATATAGTTTAGGTGCACTTAAATTAAATGTACCTTAAATGCAGTGGCGTATAAAATCTGGTCTGTAGTTAAAAACCTGTGTGATTCTGTTTCCTGCAGTGCTGCTGTGTTCTCAACAATTACTTGAATACAAAGTACTGTAAGAAAAAAAAAAAACTGAAATGATGGCAGAAACAAAGTTGTGCTTGGTATTGGAATCATCCTGTAATGAAGCCCATTCAGCCAGTGTCCTCTTTTAACAGAGGGATGATAAACTGTCGGTCTGAGTTCCTGATGGTAACCTCCTGATCCAGGCGCTGTTACATAGCACCGCTCAGCCGCCTTTTGTTCTGCTGCTCAGTCACTGCAAGGGTTACACTAGCAGGTTCATTCATAACTTAACAACCAGGGTGACTAAACAACTATTGTGCTTCTTTGCAAAACAACACCCGTGGAGTTGGATATCGGAGATTCAAGATTAGTAGAGAGGGAGAGAGAAGGGGTAAAAGAAACAGCCGGACAGAGGTTGGTAGATGTGAAGAGGAGGGAGATTATGTAAAATAAAACGACACGCAGGGCCAACAAGCCCGGGACCCTCAGAGGGGCGAAGCTGACCTTGAAACCAATCCAAATACATGTCGTCAGGGCTGTCATCCAGTGCCTCATACAGGACTGCAGAGCCAATCGGAGACACAAGAGACACAGTCAGACTCCGCCTTCAGGGGTGGAGCAACAGGTGGAGAAACCTGCTCTGTAGCTGCCTCTGAAGCCACATTTAGTGCATTACTGAAATCTGATAGGGTAATGTGAGGTGAGGGCTCTTACCCTCGTGGGGTAACCTCCGGGGGTGACCAGCCGAGGCGGTGAGGCGGAATCCAGCAGGGAGGGTCTCCGCCGAGCCGGGCATCATACTTATACCGTGAACGTCCCGAGGGGGGAACTGCCGCCTCCACGACGGGCCGCGGAAGTCTTTGTCGTCACACTGCAGGACAGATATCAATCATTTAAGATTTCACATCCAAACAGTAAAACATATAAATCAATAGTTCATAAATCATGTAGGGATGCACTTCACTTTCATATTTTTCTCATTTAAAGTGATGATCACGACCTAAACTTTAAGGAAGTCATTACTCTATGTTCATGTTATTATCATTTAACTGCAAAATGTACGGTGCTATAATCACTTTAATGTGGAAAATACTTTTTTTTGATAAATGTCCCAACTTATATTATTTTAAGGTCACGGTACTTAAATGCCATCTATGTCACTTGAAATTGAAATTACTGCTTCAAATTCTTTGCCATGGTTGTGTACTTATTTGTCTTTATTTTTATTATTTCATGTATTTTTTACCTGCTATTCAACTTTTGCTGTAACACTGTACTTTCCCTGCTGTGGGACTAATAAAGGATTTCTAATTCTGATTACATAAGGGGTAAGATGACACATGGTCCCATCTTACAGGACTTATAAAATATAATAAACCATAAATAAAATAAATTATATAAAATAAATCTGAAATAATAATAATACAAAAAGGACATTAAGGGCAACAGCATTGCAATCAAGACATTTTTCTTGTGTGTTAGCTGGCCAATTTTGGAATACTTGGGTCGCAAGTACAGGAGAAGATCAAAATTGCCTACCCATTTTCAATTTAAACCAAATAAAAATGACTTAAAACAAGTGTAGTGGCTTGGAATGTAGAAAAAAGAAACCTCGAAAGCCCTCTAAACATAAATAGCTATATCATAATCACATAATCTATTGATCTGAGACATTTAAGTATGTAGTTTATGCTTTCAGTGTGCTAACAATATCACAGTGTCCTTTAACTGGCCAGGTTTACAGACAGTTACCATGAGACCATAATTAATGAGCTTTGAGATGTATCTTTGACGTGACGCTGAGCTAATTTATGGATTGTAATTGCTGCAAATGTTCTGAATGACTAATAAGCTTTGAGAGTCATGAGCTCACCTCGTCCAGTCTCCTGTCGGTGCCCAGCGCCAGCATGTTGTTGTACTCTCGCTCCAGAATCTGACGTGCCTGTTGAAAAAACCACATCCTAAGACTGGATATTTTTAGCAGAGTGGTGACAGAGGCAGCCGACACATTACGGTATTTCCATTTATATACATTTTTCCAGAGTGTCGACGAGATAAGTCGTGAAGATTCACACGGCAGTGACAGTTGGCAAATCTGCACGTTCTGATTTAGATTGGAGCATCTTTCTGAAGGATAGCAACACACCTCTGCTCTGGACTGAAGCTGCTGACAGATCATGTACTGCCCACATTCAGAGCCTTTAAATCTGGATTGATGATGCCAGAAAAATATGTGTTTATTTTTTTAATAATCAGTGTGAAAAAGCTATGAAGTGAGAATTGCTCACAGTAGGCGTTGGACAAGATGAGATTTTGAATAACACTTAAACATACCAGAATTACTTTCCTTCAGATTTAAGATTTAAAGGACAACATATTTTAATTGTGTCACAGATATTTCATTTGTTGGTGAACATCGTTTCAAGTGAAAATCAAACAATCTTAAATAGGGAAATCATAATGTCACCCTTCACAAATAGAGTATGTTTCTGTAATTTCATTTAAATGTTAACTCTTGCAATGCCTTGTTTACATACTGCTGTAACAAAAACAAAAAATAGGAATAGTCTGTTCTTTCTTACATAATAATACATTCCTGTGTTTTTTAAACCATGCATTATCTTTTAATTTCTCTACCATGTCATTACCAAGTCCTTCATGAGGGTATTAACCACCACCACTTAATCGTGAGAGTTTTTCTTGCTGAAAGACATCAGATTTTCGCATTCATTTGAGTCTTGAGTGTATCTGGAGTACCTGAGTGTTTTGGTTGGGGATCTGGAGCAGCAGAGCCAGGCTGCTGTAGTCGAAGTTGTCGTCCAGGGCGACCAGAGCTCCGTGCACTCCGCTCTCCAGCAGGATGTTGGCGTAGTCCCTCAGACCGATGCTCTGCACCCATCGGATCACCCGCTCATTGCTCCACACCAGCACGTCTGCGCACACACACACACACACACACACACACACACACACACACACACACACACACACACACACACACACACACACACACACACACACACACACACACACACACACACACACACACACACACACACACACACACACACACACACACACACACACACACACACACACCAGCTCTTTCTGTTCAGTTGGAGCATCTCCTTCGTGATGATGATTGGTTTTTAGTTTGGGTTCACTTGCCTCTCATTTCGTGCTGGCTGTACTCCCTGCGTCTCTCAAGTTCCTTCCTATCATAGTTGAGCTTTTTTAGACCCATGATTCCATACTGTAAACTTGTTCTGGTGGCAGAAAATCACACAAAACACACGCTCATGATCAAATCAAATGTTATTCTGTTTGGGAACACACACTCAAAGGATTGTCAGCGGCTCTATGTTGTTGAGAGTAATTTAACTTGTATCTATGAGAACTAAGATGTTTGTTTTTTACAGTTCCATTGAAAAAAACGTCTAATACATCAGAAAAAAGCACAACACATCAGTGTTCATTTAAGGAATTCAACTAACGGCCCGTCTACACTACAGGCGTCAAAAAATGCTTTCAACGCTTCGCCCATTCATTTGAATGGGGTGACGTAGGATATTTTCAAACTTCGCCGAACTGCATTGTGGGTAGCATGGCAAGGCGTTGCAAGCATCGCGAGCGTCTATCGGCGTCAAAAGTTGAACAATGTTCAACTTTTGAGGCTCGATGCTTGCTCGAAGCTGGCGTCAGCCAATCAAATCCCGTTTTTGCAATTCCCGCCAGTACAAGCGCTAGCCAATCAAACCGCGTGCAAGCTGGGAGAGCCAGACCGCAGTTCATTTCCTCATATTCCAAACGAGAAATTACGGTAGCAAATCACCCGGTTCGTTCCGACCATAACTATTTACCGGGATACAAACCGGAGGAGCCAGGCATGGAGGGAGGTGGCAGAGACAGTGGGTGAAACTGGTAGGTTTTTGCCTGTTTGGAGATTTTATATCCAGTTTACTTCGTTTTAACATTGCTATTGCTTTGTATGTCGGGGGCGGGAGATTCATGTGATTGGTTGTTGGTCGCGTTGCTCGCAAAAAATCGCCAAGCTTCAGACACGCCCAGTTTCAAGATTTTTTGATGCCTGTAGTGTAGACGGGCCGTAAGGGTATTAATAACAAAGAAAACCAAAAATATCAGTAGAAAATATGTAATTTTTTTTAGTAGAATTTGGTCAAATTGTTGGGCTTTCTACGAGACCTATGCTTGATTCTCTCGGCTGTACCTGTGGAAGCTGTCCACCATTTTGAGGTGCACCCTCAGGTCCTTCTTGGTGAGGTGGTCCAGCATGCGGGCGTCCACCAGGCACTCCATGAAGTAGCTGCGGTACTGAGGTAGTCCGAGACTGGGCAGCCACTCGTTCCCTATCCACTCATGGTTCATGTCACCATAGGCTAGAGTCTAACGGGAAGGACAGATCAGCACACTCAAACAGATCTTAATTTACTGGATAAATGAACAAAGCTGTAAGATTCAATCTGTTATAAACAATGGACAGATTTAAGTTCCCCTTACCTGTGCCCAGCTTCCCTCTTCAGAGCTTGACTTCTGATTGAAACAAGGAAAATAAAAAGGTTTAATCAAGTACAAATTCTGCACCGGCACACCTAACCCAGTTCATGATAAATAAACAGAAATATGGGACACATACACGATTTATATCTAGATTTGTTTTTGTGACCCCAAAGTTCAGTGTGATTGTTGTGCTTCTACATATAAGAGCAACTCAGATTAAAGATCAAAGTTTCTTCTTACACACCTCTGCTACTTTTTCACAAACCTTGACTAACAGCGAGGTGCTTTCAAGACATGATAAAAGGATTGTGGGAGTCACTGCTGAGCAACTAAACATCTAGATGGCATTGGAATTGGTCTGCAGGGGGACTTTTTCTACCCTCAGATGTAGCATGGTGACAGTTTTATTTAAGTTTGGAAATATAGTAGGTTACAAATGTTTCAAAACTATCTCTCAAAAAATTGTTTAAGACTAACTTTTAGGTCCTGAAGCGATAAGGAAGTAAAAGCACATCAGTTGTGATGTATAAAGCAGTATAACATAGTATTAAGACACATTTCCATTTGTCGAGTCCTGTGAAATTGACACCATTCAGTATTACTGATCAAAATGAATTACCCTAATTTTATAACACATAATGACACATCTACCACATGGCCACAAATACTCAACAGAGCTTAAATCAGTCGGACAATAATGTAGAAATTCAACTGCATCTAGTTTTTATTTATTTATGCATTATTTTTCTTGGATACAAATGGCACATTTTGCCTCCCTGATGTGCAGACAATAGAAGCTAAACGCAATAAGCTGACTGATGATTCATTTCCTTTTTTAATGGAGATGAACTGAGTCAGACTCCAGCACATTGGCTCACACCTTTACTGAGTCATCATCAACAACAAAAGGAACACAAATAAAGTACTTTGTAAATCATTGACAGGCTCCTTTGAATAAATCTAGTTTAAATTAGTGTTGGTAAGAGGTTAACAGATTGGGAAAGGGGTTAAATGACACATGCCTTCTCCGTTAGTTAGCACCCAGGTGAATCCCTCAGAACACAATCCAGACTAACAGAGAAAGTAAGGGTGGCAGTGAAGGACACAAAGCAGACTGACCGTTTTGGAGGGGGCGGCCATGGTCTCCATCTCCTCATGGGTGACCCACACATTGCCTGAGGCCTGCAGGGGGCGGGGCCCGAGAGACAGAGCAGCAGCAGGGGGGGTAGCAGAGGTCCGGCAGGGGGGGCAAGCAGTGTTAAAGAAGAAGAGCAGCACCACTGTAAGCCAACAGTGTTATCAGATCAGATCATTAACTGGCCCCAAACCCGCCAGGGGTCAAAGGGCAAATTAAGAGGACAAGAATACAACACAGCACAGCACGACCTGGTTAACAGCAAACAGTACATTCACAGATAACAGACGGGGGCCATGCACAACAAGGAAGAACACGTCAATTAGTACAATTCACACCAACACAGACATATAAACTAGGGATGCACCGAATATTCGGCCACCGAAAATTATCGGCCGAAAATGGTTAAAAAGGCCCTTTCGGCTTTCGGCCGAAAGGGTTTTAGCACCGAAAAAATATCACCGAATGTCAGAACAGGCTTACGTTGGTAACCTAACGTGTTGTTGTGATGACGTAATAAAGACGCGGCGACCATGCTCACGGCTAGCTCACAGGGGGGGGGGGGGGGGGGGGGGGGGGGGGGGGGGGGGGGGGGGGGGGACATTGACCTTTGTCATCGAGATTGCCCTGAGCCTTTAACAAATCGTATTAAATAATCTGATGACAGACTATAAACAGAATAGCTGAAACTTTAACAAACTAAATAACTCAGTTACCTCTAATCATTAACCCATGTTTGTATCATGTAGTTAACTCCGTGTGTTGCTGCTAGCATATATAACACCTGACGTGGAAACGTTACTCGTGGATGGGGCTACAGAGCTGCTAGAAAGACGGTCGAACCCGGTACATTCCTCCGTCTGCATGCGGTGCACTTTTGCTAAATGTTTAGACAAATTGCTCGTGTTTACATGCTAAACTCTTATTGCACTTATGGTAACAAGTATTCTCCACATCGAGACGGGTAAAGTGTAACCACACCTCGGAGCGCGTTCTCTCCGCCATCTCTGCAGTGTGCTCCGCTGCATGTAGCAGCTGCGTGTGTGTAAACTGCCCCGCCCCCTCGCACACAGACGGGGGAGAGAGATCTCGTCTGATCGAAAATACATCATAGACGCATTTGTTGTCTTTGCATATTAGAAACGAGTTGGCGACACTAAGACTGCGATATAATGTTTTTTAGCAATAATACATGACATATAAATGTACTGTATGCATTCAAAAGTGCTGAATAAATGTTTTATGGACCCATAATAGTGATTATTATTTAAGTTAAGTTTTGCCATAATCATGTCTATTTCCATAATCAGGTAAAAAAAAAAAACAACATTGGTAAAAAATGTATACATTATATATATATATTTCTATTAATCATTTTCGGCCTTTCGGCATTCGGTTTTCGGCCAACTGTTTCCTATTTTCGGTATCGGTTTCGGCCAAGAATTTCCCATTCGGTGCACCCCTAATATAAACCCTATTATACTCATCCCTCTCAAGTTGTATTCTAATAAAGGGTTGGTTTACTCGAATTACAGAAAATACACTTATCCCAAGTTTTAATTTAGGGTTAGAGAATGAATTGAATATCTAAAAGTGCTCAAGAGGTCACATGAAAAAGTTGGCTACTGTACATCTAGGTATCACCCCATAAATTAACCTGTTAAGCCCCGAGCCTGTTTTCCAGGTCTCAGGCTCGAAAATGACATTCCCAGAACAAATCCATACTATCCATTACTATATCTTCACTTCTAAAAGGGGTAAATTAATAATATTTTTTCTAAAAGCAATGATAAACCTGTGAGTTGGATGTAGAAGAGTCAGAATCAATATAGATGTTTTTTATTTTAAAGTAAAATGTGTAAGTAAGTTTATTGTGTCCGTCCAAAAAAAAACAACCATTACTTATAGTGAAAACCACCCTTGAATGGGATAGCAGACTAAAAGCTTTAGGAATCCAAATTATAACATATAATAAGTACCCTCTATCAAGATTGATGCAAAACAAGTGAAATGTGACCTTTTTAAGAGAGATTTAGCACACAAAAAACACTTCTGGGGTCATTTGGGTAGATTTGACCTAACTCTGACCTAACCTTGGTCGATTTTGATGATTGACATCTCTTTTTAACCATAGAGCCAATAGAATCGAGGGGAAGTTCCACATACTGTACACACACACACGTTACCAAATAAGGAGTGAGAGTGACGCGTAGCCATAATACCCAAAACAGGAAGCTGTCATACACTCTGGAAGCTATCATTAGCAGCTAATATGAAAACTCAGTTTTTGACATAAAAATGGAATTATGGATTATCAATACTTTTTTCAAAGTGACACAGAAACATTGGATTAACCTATGGATTAACCTTTTTTTTAAACGTCATACGTCAAACGCGTCATATTACGTCACATGGGGGAGCAACTTTCTCGGACTCCTTCTCTGCCCAATCCGCGGTAGTAGTTTGTAGTTGGTTTGAGCGGTTGTGATTTAGTGATCTGGTATTTTTTCGGTAATTTTACATTGCATTTCACCATTTGTAATCATGGTGAGCTCTGTCAGGACATCAAGTCCACAGTTTCCCTAACAGGAAAAGGACCAGAGCTAGCTTTCGTTCCTGGGTGCGTTGTGCGAGGTGCATCCACCTCCCTGCAGCACATACTCTCCACAGCTGAGGCCTATCAAACAAAACGTTTATCAGGAAACCGTATTACATCTCTCTCCCCCCCTTCGCTCCTCTCTCTCTCCCCCATTTGTTCCTCTCTCTCTCCCCCCCCCTTCATGTCCCCTCTGGTACACAGCACCTTAAGACGTAGTGTGAAGTTGCATTAGGTAACGCGAGATACGGCTGATACTTGCTCATTAGTTTCTGTTATGGATCAGTATCAACAGTCCTGCCAGTAACGTTACTATATTATCAATATTACTTTAGTTATAGCCTGATATATGATAGCTAACTTTACAATGTTGTGATGTGACCGACGTTAGCTGACATTAACTGTAGCTAACGCCGGTCACTCATCAAGACAGCTGCCCTGTTCTCCACTGGTTCTCCTCACACCACAGCTCAATTTCTCTCCGATGGCCGTTATTTCTTCTAATCTTTGGCTGCTCCTGGTCTCTTGGCCGCCTAGCAGGCTCATAATTATAAGTTTGTGGTCCGTCATATGCATACGAATATACATTTTCAACCTCTTCTGTGTCAAAACTAGCATTGTGAACCATGTTTATTAATAGAACCGTCCTTAGGGCAGCAGAGCGGAAATGGTGGAAATCCAAACACCGTGACGACCTCCTAACCTATCAGGCTCTCCTCTCCTCTTTCTCTGCTTCGATCTCTCAGGCAAAAAGCACTTTCTTTCAAGATAAGATCCAATCTTCCTATTCCAATCCTAAAAAACTATTTTCCATCTTCTCCACCCTCTTGGACCCTCCAAAAGCTCCTCCCCCCTCCTCACTTCTGTCAAGCGACTTTGTTACCCACTTTGAAAAAAAGGTTGATGATATTCGCTCTTCTTTTTCTGACTCACCTATACTCACCGCTGGGTCACCAGACCCCCCTTCCACCAACACACTAACCTCCTTTTTCCCTCTCTCTCCAAGTGAGGTTCTTACCCTCATTACCTCTGCCCGCCCTACCACCTGTCCTCTGGACCCTATCCCTTCAAACCTCCTTCAGACTATCGCTCCAGATATTCTACCGTTTCTCACCCATCTCATCAACACTTCTCTAACTTCTGGTCACTTTCCAAACAGTCTCAAGGAGGCAAGAGTAAACCCTCTCCTAAAGAAACCCACTCTCAACCCGTCTGATGTTATAAACTACAGGCCTGTCTCTCTCCTCCCGTTCCTGTCTAAATCACTTGAACGCGCTGTCTTTAAACAACTCTCCTGTTATCTCAATCAGAACAACCTTCTGGATCCGCACCAGTCTGGTTTCAAGGCAGGTCACTCCACAGAAACTGCTCTCATTGCTGTCACGGAGGAACTGCACACTGCCAAAACTGCATCCCTCTCCTCTGTCATCATCCTGTTGGACCTGTCTGCTGCATTCGACACGGTGAATCATCAGATCCTCCTTCGCACTCTCCAAAAACATGGAGTTTCAGGCACTGCTCTTTCCCTCCTAACCTCATACCTGAAAGACCGTACCTACAGGGTGACTTGGAGAGGGTCTGAGTCCGACCCTTGTCAATTAACTACAGGGGTCCCTCAGGGCTCTGTTCTTGGTCCCCTCCTCTTCTCCCTGTACACAAAATCGCTCGGATCAGTCATTAGCCCGCATGGTTTTTTCTTACCACTGCTACGCTGATGACACCCAATTAATTCTGTCCTTTCCCCGCTCAGAGACCCAGGTCGTCGCACGCATCTCTGCTTGTCTAGCTGACATCTCTCAGTGGATGTCTGCTCACCACCTCAAGCTCAACCTTGACAAGACTGAGCTGCTCTACCTCCCGGGAAAAGATTGTCCCACTCTTGACCTAACAATCAACATCGGCACCTCAGTTGTTTCCCCGACTCAGACTGCAAGGAATCTGGGTGTGACCCTAGATAACAACCTGTCCTTCACTGCAAACATCGCTGCTACAACCCGTTGCTGCAGATACACGCTTTACAACATCAGGAAGATACGTCCCCAGCTGACACAGAAAGCGACTCAGGTTCTGGTCCAGGCTCTCGTCACCTCACGCCTAGACTACTGCAACTCCCTCCTGGCTGGTCTACCTGCATGTGCCATCCGACCTCTGCAGCTCATCCAGAATGCAGCGGCTCGTCTGGTCTTCAACCTTCCTAAATTTTCCCACACCACTCCGCTCCTCCGCTCCCTTCACTGGCTTCCGGTAACTGCTAGAATCCACTTCAAGACACTGGTACTTGCTTACCATGCTGTGAATGGATCTGGCCCTTCGTACATCCAGGACATGGTTAAACCGTACACCCCAGCGCGTGCACTACGCTCTGCATCAGCCAAACGACGCGCTGCGCCCTCGCTGCGAGGGGGACCCAAGTTCCCATCGGCAAAAACACGTGGGTTTGTTGTCCTGGCTCCAAGATGGTGGAATGAGCTCCCCATTGACATCAGGACGGCAGATAGCTTGCACATCTTCCGGCGCAAACTGAAAACTCATCTCTTTCGACTCCACTTCGAGCGTTAGAACTATTAACGAAGCACTTTTATACTAATAAAGGACTGGCTTACCTAAAGCCAGTTGAGTAGCACTTGAAATGTTTGGCTCTATGAAACCTGATGTACTTATATGATTCTGTTTTCTTCAAGGTTGTGTCTTCCTGGTCGAATGTACTTATTGTAAGTCGCTTTGGACAAAAGCGTCAGCTAAATGCAATGTAATGTAATATTAATACGTTAGACCGGCCGCTCTCCCCCATGTGACGTCACACGAGGGTGGTCTTTTTTTATGCGGAAGTAAAAATGTCTTACAAAAACGATGCCAGATGTCACGTAGTGTATATTTATGTATATCTATTTTTTCAATCTAGTGTATACATCATTTTCCTACACATTTATTCACTGGGGTGTCTAACCAGCAAGTTGCTCTTTAAGTGAGAATGACACATTCATAGTTTATTAAATTTTAAGAAGGCCTGAGACACAGTTTCGTGAAAAAAGCCCATTAAGCCCCGTAGCCCCTGCCGGCGGGGGTTATGGGGCTTAACAGGAACACATCATAGGGTAGAGACAAACATGTTTTGCCAGTTTGCTTCACATCATTTATTAATTTTGGATTGAAAAAAAGAGATGTGGGCCAGTAAATGCCCCAAAACATGTATATTTATTTTTGTCATTAAAGCTTACAATGTCTTTAATACACGTATTTATAAATCAATTATGTTCCCCTTATTTCCTGATATTCTTTCGCTAATTACTAAAGCAATCTAACTGGGCCTTATGTTAGAATTTTTTTTACATAACATGCAGTTAGTAGTTTAATTGGGGACTATTTCTTCAGTAGAAAACAGTTGACAGTGGCTCCTATTTTATTGAATTGGAGGAAGATAATAAAAAATCAGCATGGCTGCCTATACGAAACACTAAAAGAATCTGAGATGATGTTTTTTTGTGATTTGTGTGAACCAACCCTTTATTCTGTGCAGTCACAGTCAGGCACTCTGCATGTTTGAGGGGGATCCAGTTGCAATAGCATAAGTAAAGTGACCAATTCTTTCCCCTCCATCAACTTCCTGCTGGGCATACACGTCACAGCATATTTACAGGGTCAATCAACCCCCTCTTTAGAGTGTTGGGGGTTTAACAGGACGGTCACAGTAGGGGGGGTTTGTGATTGGACGCGTGGTGTTGCATGCTCCGTAATGAAAGTTTCATGAGGTGTGGAAGTGGAGCTAAGTGGTATGGGTGAGGAAGAGGGGGGAGTATAAAAGAGTTTAGCTTGTATTATTTCCCAACAGGAGAAGACAAAGAGTGCAGGAGCTCATAAGTTACAGCATGCATAGAGTGTTGTGTAGAGACTAAACACACACACTTTAATGAATACTCTCAGCTGGATTTATTCAGCAGTGCACAACCTGTCATGTCCTTATGATGCATGGTGTGAGTACCCTCAGTAGAGAGTGCATTAGTCCTTGCTCTGCAGTGTAAACAGTCACTATCATAAGGAGCAGCATCTTCCTTAGAGACCGCATGCAATTACCATGACAACAGGGAGCTATGGAAGCGACTATGGTGTAGAAATACTGGAGTTAAATCACAGCACACTGTTACACAAACAGGGCCATCGCTGACTCCCACTGTAATATTCATTTGTTTTTCACAAAGACTCTAGAATTTAAAATGCACCGGGTGTAATGACAACGGCTCTGTTTGCTAATTATTTGTCGCGCGCCAACGCACATGTCACTCATGTCTGGAGGCATTGTGCATGTTAGCAGAAAGGACTATTAGTCATACAAACATTTGTCAGAGCTGATCTGGAGGCAGAGATGATGTCATTTATTTTTAAACAAGGCTAAATGTGATTATTCGCTGACAAATTGATGGTTCTGTTCAATATGAAGCTGGACCGAGAAGCCCGTTAGCTTAGCATTAAGGCTGGAAACAGGGTAACAGCTTATCTGGCTCTGTCCGAATGTTACAATATCTACTGACCAGTATGAGAGAATATTTTAATCCGATCTCTTTGTGTCTTGAGTTTCTCAGCGTTTCTGAGAAACTGATAAGATACAGACATATGCTTTTCGTTAAGTCGCATATACTCCTGCCTGTAATGTGAGAAGGACACAGGTCAAGAGGTCATCTGATTTCCTGTGGGTGAGAAGTTTGGCACAACGGGTCTTTGTTCCGATGTCTGGTAATGGTTGGGGGAGAGGCGGGAATATAGGTCCCTCCTCTCTTCTCTGCAATGGATCTGTGTTTCTGTTGTCCTTTGTCCTCAGAGTTGATTTGGTTGCTTTACATGAAAGTGTGGATTTGCCTTGTGAACTCTCCGGCTGTATTATACTCTTAATAAATATCGACGTTTGACTAAGACGGTCCAGCTTCCATCATTTCCTTTGCATTGCTTCACAGAAGTTTTCATCACAACCAGCACCTCTAAAGATCACTAATTTAGACATTAATAACCAAGTGTAAAACCAAACTAATTTTTTTTAATATATTCTATGTCATATGACCCAGTGACTCTAAATCAACATAGCATTATATTACTACACACCTCTTATTGGATTTAGTCCACCTTCTTTTTTTACATGAATTTTTCTGTGAAAGAGTCAGCAGTTTTATTATTAAAATGGCTCATTTATTTCAAAAGCTTGCATGTATTGTGACCTCAGGACTCAAATCAATGCACCATTGTATCATTTTAGTGGGGTACACATCTATGTTATTGTTATTTAATGCTACATCTATTTTATACGAATATTTGAAAAAAAAATGCAGCGGTTTTATAGAAAAGTCTTGCCTTTTTTCAAAATGTTTCACATCATGTGACCCGGAATGAATGCAGTATTATTTTATGGAAAAGTAGGACAAAACTATATACATTTGATTTGAGTTCCATTCTATTTTAAAGAAAATTCTGCCAAAGGATCTTGTTTTCTTTCAACAGCTTCTCTGTCATGTCAAACCAATGCATAATGTAACTTTTACACTGGATAAGTAGGACACATTTCACTTGATTGGATTTAAGTGCTTTTAATATTTTCTATAATTATTTGAATGTAAATTCTGAAGTGTCTTGGATGTGAACTTCACTGCAGTTTGTCTGCCCCTGTTTTCCAGTCTTTCGCACAATTATGAGATGACATCCTCCTCCTGATCAGCTCCGTCTACAACAAATTATTGTACAACTAATATTCCAGTCTGCGTCCATGTCTCCATGTTTTCTGTCCAACTCACGGTTCTGGAGGTGGGCGGGGCCGAGGGGCTGGTGAGGGAGACCATCTCCTGGATGGCCAGGCGCAGCTTGAGGCGGTGCAGCGGGTTACTGATCCCGATCTCCCTCTGGATCTCCGTGTCAGACAGCGCCGACATGATGGCTCCGCTCTTCACGTTGGCTCGACACGCCGCCACGTACCAGGCCGGCATCCCCAACCACAGCTTTACTCCGAGAGAGATGAGATGGAGGATGAGTTTGACGCATTGAGTTTATCCATCTTAAATATTCATCCTATATTACTGTGCCCTGGAACTATTAGATTTAAATCATCCACCAACATATGAATCAATGTAGCAAATATAGTTCCTCATAGTCAACATGCAGTTTGCAGGATGTTCCATAATGCTAAGAATACGTTATGTATCATTAAGATAAGAGGTATTTGATCCCCATTTGGGAAATGTTTGCTTTGCAGCAGCATAAAAAACAACAAAACAAGGCATTGCACATAAGTAAAGAGTAGAAATTAACAATACTATAGTTTAAACATCTCAATATAGAACTATAGCAGCATTCAAAAGTAGAAAATATACAAATCTATAAACTCTGACAATAAAAAGCACATCTCCTTTTTTAACAGTGGCACAATATTTGTATTTTTAGCTAATTATCAGCCCCACTAATCCAATTTAACTCCATCAATAACTGCAACATTAGGGATTGGTGGAGTCATCAATGGACTGCTAGCTGTAAATCATCCACTGAACATCAGGGGGCAGTGAAGTTTCTATACATTCCCTTTTGGACTATGTATTCCCATGTGTTCAGTTTATCCAAATATATCAGGGGAGTTGAGTTAACTGCAATGATTCATCGTGAATTGTGAAGGTGTTGTTTTGATTTGTGAACATTTTAATGGGGTTAGACCTTTATACGATTAGTCACAATAGATCTAGGCAAAAGCTACAGTGTAGTTTAGGGAATGCAAATCTGAAATTCCAGGCTCTTCCAACAATGCAAAAATAAATATATATAATACATAAAACAAAAGAAATAGTGCAAGAAGAAACAGAAATAGAAACTAAAGAGGGCAAGAGAATGTTGAAAGTGACCACTGTGCAAGACAATGCAGAAATAAGTAAACTATACACAAACAAAATAAAAACTGATTATAAAATTAAAATCTAATCAGTGGAATGAAATCAAGTCAAGCTTGAGAGTAAGCAAAGTAAACATTTTGTTTCTTTACATGCACCTTTAGTATATTGCAGTTAAGTATATTTGCAATGGTTTATTAAAAATCAACCATTTGCATTTATAAATCTTACCTCCAGCCAGGCTACAACTGTGGGACCGTCCCATTGGGCGAAAGGTAAACCCTTTCTCCTGGCCTCCTCCAATAGCTCGTGTCTGGGGGCGGGGACAGAGGAGTGCTTATATGAAGGCATTACTTTTACATAATAATAAACACACATATTCTCACTATGATACAACTTCAACTCTCACTCCTGCACACACTGCTTTCACAAATCCCTGCAGTCACAGAATCGTGCGTGTGTGTGTATATAATACATGAGAGGAGAGTACTCAAACATTTCATCTCCTAGTCCAGCCTGTACACTAAGACTGTTGAAAAGGGCAACTCTTTATCATTAATTTCTGTGCTTCCTGGGCAGACATGCACACAACTGTAGCCACACACACACACACACACACACACACACACACACACACAACACACACACACACACACACACACACACACACACCCACACACCACACACAACACACACACACACACACACACACACACACACACACACACACACCACACACACACACACACACGTTGTATTACTGAACATATTCACTGACTGCATTTAATTCTAAAATCCTGAATCCTGATGTTGACCTTTGTCCCTGTCATACACTACATCTTAAAAAAACTGCTAGTAGTAAATGTGCACAAGGGTTGTTTTGTTTTGAATGAAGCAACTAATCTATTTAATAGATTGTAATTATAATAGCTAGACTTAAGCTCATAAGCAAAATTACAAGTGATTGTTTTTGCTGTGAATAGCACTGCCACATTGTTACTTTTAGGCACTTTTTTCCTGACCACTGCTATAAGGGTAATTACATTTAATGGATTTTACATCCTTGGCAAAATAACAGTTTTAATGTTCTCTGAGTGCAAATACAACCGATTCATACAGCTGTAAGGCACAGTGCTATAGTGAATCTTTTTCAAGTAACTTTTCTCTGCATTGTCTGGTATTGTTTAGCAGGTGTTGAAAGTGTAACCTTAGAGTAACCTCATTGCTTGATCTCAGATATACACATAGTAAACAAGTCTCTTCAATCAAGTGTATTTCCACAGGCCCTGAAAACTGCAATAATTAAACCGCTCCTAAACAAGCATAACCTAGACAAAACCATAATGAATAATTACAAACAAATATTATTATCAAACCTTCCCTTTTTAAGCACATTTTTTTGAAAAGCAGTTTTTCAACAGTTGAGTAATTTTCATGTTTCTAACTGACGGTTTTGATGTGTTTCAGTCGGGCTTTCGACCTAACAACTGAGACTTCACTTGTTAAGGTCTTAAATGACATTCATTTGAACACAGACAGTGGCAGAATATCAGTGTTAGTATTATTAGATCTCAGCGCTGCCTTTGATACTGTTGACCACAACATATTGTTAGACCGTCTTGAAAACTGGGTGGGAGTTTCAGCAACAGCTCTAAACTGGTTTAGCTCCTACTTGAAGGACAGAACATTGTCTCAATAGGCAATTTCAAATCAACCCTGATAAATATGTCATGCGGGGTTCCTCAAGGCTCCATCTTAGGACCTTTGCTTTTTAATATTTATATGCTACCTCTGGCTGAAATTATTAAAAAGAGCGAACTAAGCTATCACATCTATGCAGACGACACCCAGATTTATTTTTAAATTACACCGGGAGACTATTCTCCGATTAGAACACTGAGCAAGTGCATTGAGCACATCACTGACGACGACTCAGAACTTTCTCCAATTAAACAAACAAAAAACTGAGATCATTATTTTTGGAGCAAAGAAGGACTGATTAAAAGTAATCACAGAGCTTCAGTCTGCAGACTACAAAGTAACTCACAAAGCAAGAAATCTGGGTGTAGTGATGGACTCAGACCTGAATTTTAACAGTCACATTACAACAGTTATTAGGTCTGCATACTACCACCTGAAGAATATATCAAGGATTAAAAAACTAATGTCGCAACAGGATTTAGAAAAACTTGTCCATGCTTTTATTTTCAGTAGACTCGACTACTGCAATAGTGTATTCACAGGGCTCACTAAAAAATCTATCAGAAAGCTGCAGCTGATTCAGAACGCTGCTGCTCCAGTCTCACTGACACTAGAAAAGTGGATCACATCACTCCGGTTCTGAGATCATTACACTGGCTTCCAGTCTGCCAAAGAATTGATTTTAAAATACTACTGCTAGTTTTTAAATCACTAAATGGCTTAGGACCGAGGTATATAGACGACCTACTCCATCACTATGAAGCATCCAGGAGTCTCAGGTCTTCTGGGTTGGGTCTGCTCTCTGTTCCGAGAATAACCACTAAACATGGAAAAGCAGCTTTTAGTTATTATGCCCCAACAATTTGGAACAAACTGCCTAAATCATGCACATCCGCCGAAACACTTCCTATTTTTAAATCCCGACTAAAAACGCACCTATTTGCCACTGCTTTTAATTGAGCTGCCCATACTCACACTACAGTATGCCATTTCAGTCATGTATTCTGTACCTGCTGTGTTTATTTATTTAATTTATTTCATTACCTTTGCTTATTATGCCTGTTTTTAAATGAATTTTTAATAATGTATTTGTGCTGTATTTGTTCTTAAATGTCGTTTGCTTTTAATCTGTAAAGCACTTTGACTCGCCACTTGCTGAAAAGTGCTATATAAATAAAATTGCCTTGCCTTGAGGGCTGAGCTGCGTTTTGTGTTCCCTCACTTGGCGCTGCAGACTCAGATTGATGTCAATTGCAACGTATCGACAAAAAGCATTGAATAGATGCTCTTGGTCTGCCATGCACAGAGAGATTTGTATTGTGTTCAATCCTCCCACACTCTGCCAGACACTGAGGACTTATAAACAAAAAATGCCTGACAAGCATGGGACCAGGAAACACACTCATACTCACACCCACACAGTGGCGGTTCTACAGGGTGGCAGCTGCCACCTCAGAAAAATGCCTTGCCACCCCAGTTGGCAGCTTTGTTTTAAAAAAAAAGTTGTGGCTCATCGGACATTTATGAGAGAAAATCTCTAATGTCCGAGTGCAAGTGAATGCAGCACAAGACGCGAGCCTTGTAACCCCTCCCCCGGCCCTGGAACGAGCGTGGAAATATGATTGGCGGCGATTTCATTTGAACGGGGGATAGCGCAAAACGAGAAGCATTTCGGATCCAAGTAGACGGAAGGAATGAGGTATTTGCGGTCAGTGGCGGCGCCAGGGTATGGCTGGGGTAGGCTACAGCCATACCAAGAAATGGCTTAGCCCCACCTTGAACAATGATGTTAAGGTAAGCAAAATAAAGTCCGCCAACTCGCGCAGAGTAAAATGCACAGACAGCAGTTAGTAAGATTGATTTCAGTAGCCACTGGTCTGGAAATACAGAAGACTAGAAACGGTTTTGAAAACTTTTGTCAGGTAGTGATCGTGTTCTCAATAGCACATCTTTGATAATGTCTTCTGGCCAATCAGAATCACGATAACGGCGTGGTGTTGTTGCAGGAAGTCCTGATACATCGATACATCATTACGTGTTGATAGAAATCAACACGTAATGAAATAAGACCCCACGGTTTGATGATTGATAGGTGTGTGGGCTGTCTTTCATTTTGACACACAGAACAATGGGGGCTATCCACCCTTATCCACAATGTAAAGTAATTCACAGCCTCTTCCCTCTTCTCTCTGTGAGGAGCAGCAGGTGCAGCTTTCAGAACAAAGTAACAAAAAATGAAATACCATTCATTTTTTTAAATATGTCGTGTAGTAATATATTTATTTATTTTTCTTCTCAAGAGAGTACCAGAATGTGTATTTTATGTTAGTATTTCAAAAGATCTCCTGGGGAGAATCCCCCCAGACCCCCCTGCAGGGGTTGGGTTTTCAGCATGTCAACTCTTTCACCTGTGGGGAAATTGCAGGATTGGCTCCAGGTCGCCCTTTTTATTTACTACAAGACAAATGTGCCTTTTTATTTCATACAGTTCAATTTGGATTGAGACAGGGAAATAATCTAAACCTCACGCGTGGCGTTTCACTGTCAAGGGGAGCGTGTATGTAATTACATTGCAAATACTGACTTGAGCCCCACCACTGTATGGGTTAGCCCTACCATAGATTACCCAACACAAATACTCTGGAGCCGCCACCGTTTGCGGTCTACAATGATAGAGAAGAGCCTGTCAAGTTTGGCTGTACTCAGCATTGAATCAAAACGCACCATAGCTTTAAATCGTTTGTGAGGCGTTTTGCTGATCAAGATGGTAATCGCCACATTCAGCTGTTATAGGCATGCCAACTTGATGCTCTGCTCACGGATGAGTCGATGAGAATAATAAACTGTTAAGATGATGACCTTACGTGTGTATAATATTTTTCTTCTTTGTGGGGGTCTGCCCCCAAAAAACAGTTTCAAATCCTGAGAAAGTCAAATAAGACGATGTGTAAAACTTCACTGCCCAGCCAAAAGAAAGTAACCACTTTGATTTAACTAGGCGAGTAGGTAAGGACTTTCCACTGGATAATAACTGCAGCGATGTTTATGTTTTAGCTGAATACACGTTTTTTAACCCTAACTGATGCAGTTAGTCACTTCTTTAATGTTTGTTCTTTCTGATGTAAAGTCAAGGTTGTAACTGTTTGCAATGAAGTTGAGGGGCGCTGAACTGTTCCTGTGAATCTTTTGATTTATGATAGTAATTACTTGTCTTTCAAATTTGAAGGAGGATGAGCAAGCATCTTGAGGAACATTCATCATTATCTCCTCCAAAAAATATAGTTTATTTAATAATAACACTGAATATGTGAATCATAACAGTGATTGACAGCTGATAGGAATCATATGATTGTTAATAGTATCATATTCATACAGACACTAGGGGTGTAACGGTTCACAAACATTTCGGTTCGGTACGTACCTCGGTTTTTTGGTCACGGTTCGGTTCGGTACGTTTTCGGTACAGCAGAATTTTTTTTCACAGAACAAAACATATATATATATATTTTTTATTATTATTAAACTGTGAATAATGTATTCACTCAAATAAATACAAAATATAATAAAATAAACATTAAGGTGCAGCATTTCGATGAACTGAAATAATCTGTATTTGAACTTTACTGTAGGCTACTAGTACTCACAAAACATAAACTATTAGTTTTGGGTTTTTAATTATTATTAAACTGTGAATATTCACTCAAATAAATACAAAATATAATAAAATAAACATTAAGGTGCAGCTTTTCGATGAACTGAAATAATCTGTATTTGAACTGTACTGTACTGCACCTAAGCAGCCAGTTTGACATTATGACTTGCTTGTCATTGTATTTTCATGTTTTTTTAAAGAAAAATGAACTTGTCCACATTGCTTGCTGAAAGGGCAGATCTGCTGGCACTAACAATGTCTCCTGCTGTGGAGAACACCCTCTCGCTAGGGACAGAGGTAGCAGATACAGCCAGGTAGCGCTTTGCTAACATTGCAACATAAGGATAGTTGGCGTTTGTAATAGCTTTGGCTCGGTCAGATCTTTTTGCGAGTGGTGGAGGCTTACATGCTAGCGGGAGTTGGGTTTGCACTTCAGTCTTTTTTCTTTTGGTACTGGTGATATTCACGTTCGGGTGATGCCTTTTCAAGAGTGTGCAAGTTTGATGTATTGCCAGCCGCGTAACTAATTTTAGTTGAACAATGCCGACAAACAGCTTTGGTTCGGTCCACCTGTCTTTGTCCTTCATCCTTGTACGTAACTGCGAAACCAAAATGTTCCCAAACCGGAGACTTCAATGATGCTGGAGGATTTTCGAGCTCAACTTTATCTGCGTTCGCCATTAATTTTCGATAGTTCCTCAAATTACTGACTACATTTGAACGCATCCCTCTGACCAGCTCTCATAGTATGCCTCTCATCCAATGAAATGACTTGGTCGCTCTATGACGCGTTGAACCCAATGTGAGCAAATTACTCTGAATGCTGCGACGCAGCACCTGAGATTACTTCCAAAAAGTTGTTCACGTTCTCAATTTTTTACGTTTAACGTTATATTCGTTCGGTACACTTCGGTACACACCTGTACCGAACCGAAGGGCCCGTACCGAATAATTTCGGTACGGGTACGTGTACCGTTACACCCCTAACAGACACACATCGATGAGACAGTTAATGAATGTACTTATTGCAGCAGTCTGCATAGATTGGTACCCCTGGTATTGTTCAGTTAAAATTCATTCAATGATGTCTGCCACCTTATATTTATATGTAAGGCTTTACTGATGTGCCACAATAATGTCACCTAATGTTATTGAGTTAAAATATTAATATTGTGGCTTTACAAGTTAACATTGATTGATATGACTGCGATTAAATCAGCATATACTTCTGCCAGGGGATGCCACCCCTGAAATTCTCCTGCCACCCTCTTGCCACCCCATGAATATTTTTCTAGATCCGCCCCTGCACCCACAGACCAAAAAACGAAATCTTATTGTATTTAGTGAACACATTTCATAACAACATCTCTTCAACACATTCCCTGAGCGTGTTGTTGAAGAATGGAAAGAGTAGACTCAGTAATAACCATGATACATGTAGCACTCTGAGCGTTGAAGGCCTCAGTACAGTGAAAAGGCTCTTAAACACAGCATACATGTCATACAGAGGAAATGTGTTGGTCCAAAACACAACCAGGTACATTCACTGTCTTATCTATGCAGCACATGGGGAGATAGCTCATGTTTTATGTTCAGGTCAGGTCTAATGCATGGAGAAATACATCCACTGAACATAGCTGGGGAAAGGGAAGTAAGGAAACAGTTATGACAAATCATACAAACAAAATTTGACATTCCCATAACCAGATATTACAGCTGGTTATTTCACACGGATAGATAGAGACACATATACAGGAGAGGAAGACATTCCGGGTGTAAAAATTGCACCACAGTTTAAGCGGCGGCACATTCTCTGTCCAGCCATGGATGCAGCTGCCATTGAACTGTAAAAAGGGGGGAAGAAACGTCTTCAGATGGTAAACGAAAAAACGGAAAAGAAAGAACGCAATGGCGTCGTTAACAGCCATGAAGGATAGATAGATACACAGATAGAAAAGAGACGTCAGCTTTGGCACTGGTCTTTTCGGGAGATGGCAGACAGACAGGAAGAGATGGCAGACAGGGCAAAATGGCTGAGACAATGTTTCATATCCAGGAGGTCAGTTATACATCCTCACAACTTACCCGCTTTGTTAGAGTCAGAGGATGATGAGAGGGAGAGGAGGGGTAAGAGAAGAGAGAATCAGAGAGCAAAGAAGGGAGAGAAAGAGGGAGAGCGACGGGGAGACAAAAGTACACACATGTTAATGAGTCAATAGGCATCGAAAGATACGGCTCTACACAAAATCACGTGCGTTCACACACCCCCCCCACACACACACACACACACACACACACAGATCTCACAATGGAGGACATTTGTTTACAGGAGCATCTGTAAACCGGTCAAATAATTTAAAAAAAGTCGTCTTCTACAATGCTGTCGTGACCACATCTCGTGCAGCAGAGGAAATGAGAAAATGCACTGAAACACAGCAAGACCCCCTCCACGGCCTTACATTCAGATGCTCAGATACATTCAGGTCACCTCTTTGAAGATAAATAAGAGTAGAAAACACACAATGAGAAACCACAGCGGTATTGATCGATCAAGATGCTGAAATGGAAGTATAGTGCAGGCAGCTCAATGGCATGCAGTGTGGAGGAGGCGCCAAGATGCAAGGTGGTGGTGCGGCCTTAATCCCGGAAACACTGCTATGGAGAGGTCAGTGCCGTGGAGGAAAAACAACACATTTGTCAACGTACAACACACAATACTCTCTATTGACTACATGGGAGGCAAAGTTAATCGTCATGACAACTCAATGTGCACTTCGAGCAAATGACATTCATCATTTGACACGGGGGCATGGCAAATGTGCACACACACATACACACACTCCTGCTGAAAGATTTGCAAAAGGGGTTTCCTCCTTCTGCAGGGCAGCCCACGCCTGATGTGTGAGTGTAATCTATGGGCGAGGCTTCTATAGCTCCCAAAGTATCTGTGTGAGATTAATAGTGTTTTCAGACTGGATCAATAGTCTGATATGGCGTCTGAATACAACGAGGCCGATCTGTGCTCCTGGAGTCTGATCCGGCTCCTGCTTTCTATCGATCCTCCCTCAGAGGGGGTGATGTTATTGCATAGCTGTGTTTTCAGAGAGAGAAAACTGGAGGTAAACACAGGAGTAAAGGGAGATAGCCTCTGTCTGTGTCAAAGGTCACATCGGATACAAAGCTTCTCTTAAATGTGACCATGAACTTAATATTTGTAGCTGTGTATCTGAAGACTCTGCTAAGGAACGTGGTTCTGAGGACAAAGCTTACTTCTTTTTTAACCTGCGGTCCTTCTCAGCCTGAGTGCCCAGCTTCCCCACGCCCATCTCCTGGCCCGAGTCTGGGTCCATCATGGTGGCTGAGAGAAGAGGAGAAACACCGGATATCAGTTAATACTGAAACCTATACTATATAATATGAAAAAAATGTTGTGATTATATTTGCCTATGATTACAATAATAAGTTATAGTGTCCCCTCAATTTCTTATCAGGTTTTGATACATTTTTGCAGGCTTCAACAAGTTAAATTAAAGATATAGAATAAAATGAAGCCGCTATTTGTATTTTGCGGTCAGTATGAATGCAAGTCCTGAATCATTGACACATTTAAAAATGTCAATAGTTTTATATTGTATATTAGCAATCAATCTATTAGTGTTTTTTGACGAGAGTAAAGCATTGATTTTTAGAACTATTAAATAGTTTTTCAAACAAGTATGTAGGATTTTGTATGTGATGGATGACCTAATGTTACTGCACCACATTATTTTATTTCATTCCGTAAAAAACCCACCATTTTTATACCACATGGCAATTTGTTGTATGATTAATCTGAAGCGATCCTTATTGTTAAAGCAAGACTCAGCGCCCACCTTGTGGATCTACCATGACATGTCTGTGTGCCATATGTCCCATCCTGCCCTTCTCCTTCTTGCCAAAGAGCCGTCCGATGGAGGATTTGATGCCCTTCTTCTTTGGCTGCTTGCTCAGGGAGTCTTGGCTGCTGCCAACGCTGCCGCCCTCCGCCTCCAGAGAGGACCCCATCCTGACACACACACACACACACACACACACACACACACACACACACACACACACACACACACACACACACACACACACACACACACACACACACACACACACACACACACACACACACACACACACACACACACACACACACACACACACACACAGAGAGAACATGGGTAAAGCTTTTTATACATTTCAGAGTCAGATTATTTCTCAAAGGTCAACATCTTTAGATCATCATTAATACCCTTGTGAAAATATTTTATTTTTGAATAATTATGAGAATAGAGGGTTATTAATAGCGGGTTTACCAACGTTTACACACCTTTGAATATATTTAATTCCTCTTCAAGAATCATCACCTCACTTATCATTTATTTTTTGCAGTATTTGCCATTTTCCCCGACTTTGCTTTTCTAAGCCTATTTATCCACGCTCTTACTGAAGACTCATGTAATACAGTTTCTACTGCCTGTGCTTCATGTTTGAAAAAGTACCCAGATTATTTCTAGTAGACGTTCAAATTATGCCTCCCAAAATTCCAGCTACTTCTGAATAACACATCTTATTTCCCATCCAAATATCAACCTTACAATTTTACAAGAAAGACTATTATTAGCAACCGAGATAGAGATACAATCAGATAAAACCTCTCTTAATCAGTTGGTAAATTAAAGAAATAGTTATGAAATTAGCAGTAAGAAGTCTAAACATGAATTAACACCAGACTCCGACAACAGGATTACAAAAATGGATGTTTGTACAGCTGATGCCTACCCTCGTGAGTCGTTGTGCGAGGAGGCTGGCAGTGTGTGTGTCATTCTGACGGTGCGGGGCGTGGTGGGGGGGGACGTCTCACACTTGATGGTGGCCTTGTCCTCGTGGCCGTCCTCGTCCACCGCTGCTATCTGAGGGACGAAGAGGAAGAACGGGGCGTTAGACGTGACTCTCGGTTTGTGAATCACCCATTTATCTAAGGTGTTGTCACAGCGATCATATTATTAAACAGTGAGTTGATACTGTGTGTACCTTTCTCCTGTGCTTCCTCAGGTCACTGGGCTGTTGGGCAGAGAAAAGAAAACATTTATATAACATCATACACATTACGATGCTCTTGAGCCTTTGTCCAAAACCACAGCATCAACTCATAAATCAATAAAGTAGAATAAAGGTAAGCATGTTGTTTCACTGATCAATACAATCAAAGCCTTGCTCCATTAAAGCTTCTGGATAAAGCACACACTTCTTTTGTTCTGGTGGATTATGGGAACATATGTTCATATTTATTTAGGTAAGAGACACATCTGGAGTGTGAACATATCATTTTCTATTCTTAGAGGAACTGCAAGAAACATAATTTGACTATCGAGTTGCATTATACATAAGCTGCTATGGACATATGGTAGCGTTTGCACAAGGAAGTGAGATACACATTATAGAAAACACATACTGTAACTCCACTTACTTACAAAAGTGGTATGATCTCTAAAAATACATCTGTAATCCCTGAAAGAACTCTTAGTATATCCTCAAACTCAAATCAACACCACTGTGTGATGTGAGGAAAGCAAATCCCTTAAGGACTTAAATCACAGCACTACAAATAAGAGTCAGACATGTTTTGTAATTGGGTTCCTCACGGTTGCTCTTGTAATAATATAGTTGATTTTTTATGGAACAAAACTGGAGGCTTCTGGATGCTGGACCTGATATCTTACAACACTGGAGGCTTACTGTAAGGCTCGCCAAGATAAACAGAAGATGAAAAATACAAGCAAATACAAACTCTTCTCGCTTCTGCATATTTACCTGCTTCTTTGACTGCTCATAAACATATTCACCTCTAGTCAAAACATGTCTAGACTCCAAAAAACTAAAACAAGGGCACCACCTAAAGATTAAACGCCAGGCATTTAATCTGCCTGGCGTTCCCTACGGCTAACTTAAATGAAGGACATTCTAATATCAAAATATGTATACAATCGAGCATTTGAATGTATCAATATATGTATACACTTTAAAAATGGGAATCAGTTCAAAAAATTACAGTTGTGATATCTCAAACACCTTTTCTCTGTATGAGTTTGACCCAATTGATGTAATAATGTGTTTTACTTACAAAATAAATACAAATGGCTGAATAACGCTTCAACTAATAGTTAAAGAAAAGGTTATTCTATTGTTGTATCCTATTGTAACATCCAAGAAAATGCTGATTTGGTTTAGATTAAATTAGATCAGATGAGATGAGTATACTTTATAAGAAGTAACAAGTTTTGACAGTTTAAAAACAAATAGAATGAGTAATATGCTAGTCAATCTGTTCCTGAACCTTCAGGTCATGGACAGGTAAGTCCTGTGGTGATGGAGAGGAGATCTACTTTTAGTACAGCAGCTCACCAGTGTCATGACCCCCATGCGCTCCATGTCCCGTGCGGGGCTTCGAGGGTCCAGCTTGGGGGTGGAGTGTCCGCTGGGCGGGGAAGAGGAGGCGAGGGAGGAGGCGGTGGCTGAGGCGGTGATGGAGGCTCCGTGGTGGTGCATGCGAGCCAGGTTCAGGCCCTCCAGGCTGACACTTGCCACCCGGTTTTCAATCTCCTCCGCCCGCAGCTCCGTCGACTCCTTCTCCTCCTGAATCAGCCTTCGAAGGTGATTCAGATTATAAATTAGTTGATGAATTATAATTTAAATGATACGTATTCCTTTAATAATTATTTTTAACGTTTTGTATAATAATTTTTCTTTATTTATGTGGGCTTTATGTTTTTTGTTCCACTTAAAAAACGAAACTGCTTTCAGATTTAGCATGTCACTTATTCTCCCTGTAAATAAATTAGTTTCTTTAATTTAGTTAAAGGGATAATACATGTATGGACAAACAAAGGTCATAAATCAAAGCATCAGGAACATCTTGCAATACAGAGATTATACAGAAATTGTAACATGCAATTGCGATATTTTCCAGCTTGAAATATAAAAATGTAATCTTTTAATCAGTATCTCGGCTACATAGTTTAGAGGTAGATTTCTGGAGATTTATGTAACAAACTCCATTAATTACCTACAGTATAAGGCGGACTAATTGAAGGCCAAAGTGAGGAGATAAAAGGCTAAAAGTCAGATTAGTTTCAGCCATACCGAGGGTTTAACTTTGTAATTAGCAGAGACTCCTTGCAGTCATGATCCCTATCTGCCATCAGATTTAAATGAACTCTTCCTGAAAGAAATGTGGCACTGTGTCTATTGATTGGGATGTAAATTAACCAAGACCAAAAGTCACATTAAGAACCCTTGAAATAAAGAACTGTGCAGAGCCTCTGCGGGGTTATGAATACTTATCAGCACAAGGTAATTACAGCATTAACAAGCGAGACGCGTATTTCCTGAAACATTTAGTGTCTATGGTTTCATAAACAGGAAGAGTGATGGTACAGTGACATTCCAAAAAGCCATGCAGAAAGAGTAATCGGCTAGGTCACCCCGCAGTCAAACACAAAATAATGCACAGCTTCCTGGGAATTCATCTTTAAAACACGTCAAGTGCGAACCTGATTTAAAGCAGAATAGGAGCACATTAATAATAAATGAACACTGTGTCAGGTACCGGATCTCCTTGTTGATAGCGTCCAGCTGCTCCTGCAGCATCATGGCCAACGTTTGTGCATCAGAGTGTCCGCCGGGTGAGAGCATGTCCATGGAGCTGAACATCGTTTCCCTGTCGTCGTCATCGATGTCCGACATCTCCGTGTCGCTCTCGAAGTGATGGCCCAAAACCCCGAGCTGCTGCGAGCGCCACTCATGCTCCCCCAGAGATTTAGCCTGCACAGGAACACAGGGGATTTCAATTGAATACATTTCAAATCTTGGGGGAATTGCAGTTATCTAAAGGTAACTCAAACATATTTCCTTAATTTAATCAAATAACATTTCTGTCCTCTAATGAGACTTTTTATTAGAAGCTATTAGGTAATTACAATACAATATATTTAGCTGGCGCTTTTATCCAAAGTGACTAAATTATGTTCTTACAATATTTGTAGGAGACATTTGTTCTTCAAGTAAATTAACCGACACTTAACTTAACTAGTTTCCTAATAACTTAATTAAACACATTACAGACAACATTATGGAAACACATTTTATTTACGCATTACTTGTAGCAAACAACATTATCCTCATAACTTACTTCTATGTCCTTATTGTCTCAACATAATAAGCATGCAACATAATATGTTTGTTAACTACTTTAAAGTTTTAATTTAGCTTTAAAGGGACACGATATGATTCATGGTTTGTTCTGCACAGCACACTGATATTTGCTGAACAGAAGTAATTCTTTCCTGGGAGAGGCTTGTCTGGACTCTTCCCCTGCTGGCTCATTAAATCAAACTGTGTGCCACTTTAAAAAGAGATGAGACAAGCTGATCTCCTCCACTGTTTACTCTCTTGGTGATGATACATTTCGCAGTAACAACATAGAAAATCCTACGCCAGCCCTAAAGCACGGTCTCTCGTCACCAAAACTGCACGAATGAGATGATCCAGCAAAAGTATGACAGACCAGATCTCCTTTTAAACTTAAACTTGGCTTTATCTCTCCCAATGCATATCATAATTCAGGTAAAATTGCCCTTAATTCATATTGAACATGAAAAATATTGGAGACTTTAAGAATTGGCTACGGCCTCAAAGTTCTCCAGATTTTTTTCTACTGCGTGTGCCAACTTCTAACTTAAAGAGCTTACAAATTGTGAAAGTAGAAAAACTATATTTAGAAAAGGTTAAGAAACTAATGCAGAAGTGCTTAAAATAATTTTTCAAAACTAATGTACCCGCAGGATTCTTGCTTTTTTGAGTTTGTATCTTCATGGATAACACATGTAAATGAATATGAAGAAGACTCCCTGCCTCACCTTGGTTTCATGCAGACCCACTCGACCTCTCCTCGGCCGCCGGATGACCTTGGCTGAGCGGTAGTGGTCCGACTGGGTTTCAGCCAGAGATCCCAACGAGAATCGGAGCTCAGCTGATGTGTCCAGATGAGATCTGAGAGAAAAATAAAATCCATAGTAATCCTACATGTCAACTTAATATGAATGTGGGTTCATAAAAACATCTAGATACATTAAAGAAGAGATTCATCCTATGCAGGTACTGTGCCTGAGTTGTTGATTGATTACAAAAGATGAGGCAAACATTTCAGCTATGCAGACAAACCAATCAAATCTCATGTTTTGGTTCTTCAAGTGCAGTAATAGTTGTAACAATTGTGTTGTGTACAGTGTACTTTTGAAGGATCAGCGAGCATTATGTATGCCCCAATTGCTGCAAATTGCTTGTATATGCAGGAGATGAAGCCAGCTGCTGTCAACACATCAGGGATGTAATATTAGATCTTCATGCAGCAGAAAAAAAGACAATCCAAGAATAGATACGGAGAGTTCAGTGAAAGCAGTGATTCTAACAATAGCGCAGAGCAAATTCTTTCATCAGTGACGGATACAATAAAAGCACCTCTGCTGGGAGAAGATCTTTTGCATGTTAAAAACAGGTTTTATTAGATTTGTATTGAATCTTAGGCAATATCATCAAATAACAAAGTAATGGAGATGCTTTCTTAACTGTAATAGCTATGTAAAATATCATATAAAAAGTTATTTTTAAGAAGTAAAATATATTTTATCAGCAGATGAGGCACAGAAAGCCTCTCCTTATTCTATCTGTCTGTAAAACGTAGCAGACAGTCAATTGTATAGTGAAGTGGTTTGAAATCACATATGGCTTCAATTCTATAGTATACTTAGCCTACAAAAAACATAGAAGCCAAACCTTAATACACACACACACACACACACACACACACACACACACACACACACACACACACACACACACACACACACACACACACACAACACACACACACACACACACACACACACACACACACACACACACACACACACACACACACACACACACACACACACACACACACACACACACACACACAAACACCACACACACAACACACACAACCTACCGTGACAGGGTGGGTTCTGTGAGGGATCCTGCCCTCAATCTGAACTGGTCCAGCTCTGATCTCAGTTTATCAATCTCCTCTGCCAGATGTGTCTGCACAAAACAATTTGACAGAAGACGCCATTATAGAACCCGTCTATGATATTCAACTCTAAAGAATGATTATCATATCGTAAATTATTAATATTGCTGCCCGTCGACACTGTGGAGTCACATAGCTGTGAGCCATTGTGGCTTATTATCTTCACATTGCTGAATATTTACATGCTGCTTGGAAAATACTTACACATTAAGATTATGAGCATATAACTTCAGATATTTATTAAAAAAATGTAAATGCCCACAACCAACCTGATTATCTTCCCATTAAAAATAGGTTAATCAAGCAACTTTATATAGATGTAAGAGCTTACTTACTTTGACATGGATTGAATCTTCGTACTGTTTTCTGTAACCTTCAGAGTCTTGGATTAACAAATTCTGCAAAGAAAATGGAGAAAAAAGTTAGAGGGGAAAAATCCCACCTCTTCCTGACATTCACTGGACATAGCTAATAGATATGTTTCCAAGGACAATAGCAGCCATCTTGAACCTTCTCCTCGAGCGCTGCCATCCTCTCCTTCAGATGGAGCTGAAGTCGCTCGTTGGACTCTGTGAGGAGCCGATCCACCGTGTCCGACAGACGCTTGTTGTGCTCTTCATTCATCTTCTCTCTCTGTCGAGCCTTGAGGCAGTCAAGGAAACAATTGAAGAGTTATATTTCAAGGTCATATCAACTGACTTTTTCTAAACATGAACCCCCAAAATCTATTGCATCAGTTTACCAGTTGAGGAAGGTACAACCAGAAATACTGTTTTTGAAGTAAACAAATATTGTGACCTCAAAGAATAAACTCGAAGGTTAACTGCAAACAATATTATGGTAACAAGAAATGTCTAGTCTTGAATTAATGAAATAATTGTTAAGACATACAGTACAGGTGGTATTTTGTACATTTACCATTTTGTGTTCTACTTTTATTTCGGAAGTGATGTGATCTCTTTACCCCCACAAGCTGTCACTGTATACTACATTGCATGCCCTTAAACAATGCAGGGTTAACATAAAGTTTCTATCCTGCCATATATGCTTACTGTTTCTCCAAGAAGGACCACTAACTTTGTGAACCCAGAGGTTACAACTACATAAGACATTTATTTCCTAAACTGCCATTTTGGGATGATACTATAAAATGTGGCTGCAAAGACAATGGCGATGCTAATGTGATCTAAAATAAGTAGCATAGTATTGCATCCTTTGTGAGTATTTGACGAACTGAGTGTGTGAAACATGGATTTGGTGTCAGTATGATGAAGCAGACAGTGTGTCGTGCCCCTGCAGCGGGCGTGGCTGCCTGGCACATCCTCTCCTCGCTGACTCACCCGCAGCAGCTCCTGGTTCTTCTCCTCCAGCTGGCACTCCAAGTGCCTCATTCGCTCCTCAATGCTCCCGTGACGCTCTTCCGCCTACAGATGGAAGAAACAGCACACACAGGACAAAAGAGGGCACGATGATCTGAATGTTTGACAGGCTGAGAGCAACAAAGAAAAGCTGTGGCGACGACACAAGCCAAAGCCTCCACCCATAACTCAAAGATGGATGTTTATTGTTTTAAAGCAGGACAGGAAAGAGAGCTAGATGGAGAAGGAGGCCACTAAAGGACAGAATGAGTAGCCATGCAGCTGTCCCGTGGTGAAACAGCCAGAGCCCCAGTAAAACACGCTCGCCACCAAAAACAATAATAAGATAAATGAATTAAATCTGCTCTCTACAATATTGGCATTAGCTGTGACTCCTTGCGGGACTACCTTCCTAAGAATGGAGTTCATGTCTTCAAGTTTAGCTTCCATAACAAAGTGATAATCATCGGGGGAGGAGGAGGAGCTGGAATCAGACTATGTGGCCGAGGGAGAGGAGAGGGACATGTTGAAAGGTCATGACATGACACCACGTGTACACATACACTCACGTATAGAAAACATGAAGAGACTAACGCATCTATGGGAATGTGTCAACAGTATGTGTGTTTATGTACGTGTGTGTTGGTACCTTGGTGAGGGCTGCTATCCTTTGTGCCAGCTCAGCCTCCACCTCTGGCAGCGTCTCCGCCTTCCTCATGGTCTGCTGGAGCTTCTGCTCTGCCAGCTCTAGCCTCTCCTGTAGCTGCCGGTTCTTCTCCTCCATCTGCACACACACAACATAAGTAGATATTCATTTGGAAGCTTTACAAGATTTTGCAAACTGTTACTTCTCCCATAGAATTTGTGTGGAATTGTCTTAAAATGTTATGTCTTTCAAGCCTTTTATTAGTAGTTGTATCAACAGTAACTTTACATTGGAAGCACGAAAGATAGAATAGAAACTGACTTAGTGAGTGAAAATTATATTTCTGTTCAAACAAAACAACAGTATGTACTGATGGCAAAACACAAGAAAATAAAGAGAAATGCATTTTCCAGAATCTTCTTTCATTTTTCTTTAAAAAAATGTTTTTACCATGGATGTGTACTTATTTGATTTTATTAGTGTGCTTGCTTTGTTATTTAAAATGTTAACCCTTATGTAATTGCATAAGTGATGAGCTTGCAATTACCGCAATGAGCACAGAAATCAAATAAAACTAGAAAATATAAAATAAACAAGGAGATTTCTTACTAAAATAGGATAGCTATTGTAAAAGAGTTGAAAGTAGAAATAAGTAGTATTTTTCAATAGCTTGAAATAAATGCCAGCATTTCCGTGAAGTTAAATTGAGAATAGTATATGATATTTGTGTTTTCTTCACCTTCTACCAGCCATTTTATGAATAAAAAAGACTTCTGTGAATGTGTATTTATCTTTATAATGTCAGCAGAGCGTCATGGCCTGGTAGAAATAGAATCACAGATATATTTCGTAGCAGGACTGGCTACTGAAGGCATTGGCAGCGAGCCTCAACCCTTCTCTAAAATAGCACCATGACAGAGTGAGAATAGCAGCAGCCCGGCACTTGCCAAGAGTGACAATGGCAACTTTTAGTCAGCAGAAACCGGTAATTGCGCTTATTAAGCATTCAAATAGATTAGAAGGTGGAAATGAATCCCAGCATGCACTGTGACGCTGCCACCAAGAGCTTTTTATTTCCCTGTTGCGTGTCAAGACTTTTTTCTCTGCCTTCCTCAGGCTCTGATCACTTTAAAGACTCTTTTTTTGGGGCTGGATTGGCAGCCTTTCCCTCCAGCGCCAGATGCTCTGCTCCCAAAAGCATCGAGACAGGCAGCTCAATAAGCAATAATTAGACTGGAGTCATCCAGGGGTGTGTTGTATTGTGTGATGTTTTCTAAGATGACACTGGGGAAGCATGACAGTGTGTTTTTTCTTGCGATGTCCCCCCTAGGTGCCCTTCCATCCATCTTTATTTTTGCCTTTTTGCTCATCATTTCATCTCATGCCTTCATCCTTCTGTACTGACGGCCGAGCCAACATCCCCCTGAACGACTCATCCTCAAACACCAGCAGACTAGTTCAGTTTCTGGCAAAACAACAAGTAAACTCGTTATAATAAATTATACTTTCCAGTATAAGTTTCCAGTTTAGTTCATAACGGATGTATTTTGTTATCCACACATATATTTGAACCTACACCTGCAGTGTAGTTGGAAAGGTAGTTTCTGAAGATGTTACAAATAAGGTACAATGAATGCCATAATAATTTTGTATTGTTAGTGTAGGACACTTATGTGTGTATAACATCTGAAGATGTGTAGTTTTATTCATGTTTTCACATAATTTTACAGGATATTGCTATATTATTTCACATACTGTATTGTAGTTCTACACATTAATATCTGAGGTATATCCATCATTTAATCGTAAGCTATTGAAATCCTGATTCCATAGATGTGTCTCCCATCACCCAAAACCCCTGACTATTCTCTCAACTCAATATTTACATTCTTGTATTAAAATAAAATCAGTAATATCTTTAAAAACTACAAGTCCTTTTCTATAAGCTGTTCACCGTTATGGTGTAAATATAGCCTAGCTACCAATTGGATCAAATATAAAAGTTAAACGAATTAAGGTTGATACTGCAAGGAGACGTATTGTGTGAAGAAAAATTGAAGATGTTTAATTGCTGATATATTTATGATCCACGTCACATATTCAGTTTCTGTGGCAGTTCTTCCAGTTTGTCTAGACGTCTTCTGATCAGGGCTCTATAAATAAAGAACTATGGCAGATGTGTAATATTTAATGCAGCCGAACCGTGTATTACAATGCCGTTATGTGATGACTTTCAAAGAGAAAAGCAAGCACACTCGGAATAAAGTATTTTTTTATTTTTTTTTAAAAATCTATTTTGGATTTCATATCGCATAAACACCATATCCCAACTTGAATTGCGGCTAAAACATCCAATCACCAAGCTTCAACCATAGCTGAGGATCTTGGGTAATCAGTTCAGTGGGTGTGTATCGCAATGACGCTCAAAATTTCCCATATATAGGCCTGCGTCTGTTTTCTGTGACTTTATTTTGAAATTCAGTTCCGTGACGGACGTCAAAAACGCCAGAGATTATAGAATTAAACAAATAATAATAAAAACAAGGATAATTGTGTGTTATTGTTGAGTAAATAACAGTGTATTATTTAGAAAAGAATAACAAAGTAGAAGGAAAAAAAGATTTTAAAAATACATATTTCAGTATTCTGAGGCTCTGATCCCCATTTATTTTCCTCACGGACGGCAAAAAAAGTCAGAGATTATAGAATTTAAAATAAAAACAATAATCGTGGCTTGATATTGAGTAAGAATATGTTTTTATGAACCACACAGCTTCCGGTCTTCCAAGACCCGACCGGACAAAAATATGTGCTGCAAGCACGAAACACACTACCAATAGAAATACATTGCTTTTTTTTCGTTATGTGTGACAAGAAAAAAAAAGGGGGAAATCGTGTTCGTGAACACGAATCAATAGATTCAATTTCGTGACTATAACACGAAATGCCGTGAGACTGGGTTGGCCAGTTAGCTTAGGTTAGCAAAAAGCAAGTTAGCTTAAGTTAGAATAAAGCCTGGAAAAGACTACGCTGTTCTTTGGTAACAACATAACACTTCAGTTTGTGTATGGATTGAATAAAAAAGACATACTGTGTTAATTTGTGAGCTTTAAGTGCTCAAAGGCAGATTCTGATAACTTTGGACTAAGTCAAGCTAGGCGTTTCCCCGTTTATTTTCATCGTGCTAAGCTAAGTTAACATGTGCTGTCTGTAGCCTTCATTTATGAATCTATTTATATTTATTGGACTATATGAGAGCAAATTTGATAATGTAATTCGCCGCAATACTTTTTATTTCACAAAATGTCATCCTATTGCGTTAACAGAGTCAATTCTGTGTCTTTGCAACTTTCTTCACAGCAAAGTCAAAGGGTGCTTTCGTGTCTCATGGTGTCCTCTGCTCATATTAGAGTGACATTCTTTCTATCCTCCCAGAGCTCAGCTGGTGCTTAAGCCGGCGCTCATGAAAATGTCACTCAGTCTTCTGTGGCCAGGCAATTTGTCTAATTGGCTGCGATGAATCACGAAGAATCATCAAAAGGCGAATAAATCTGTGTCGTTGTTTGTTCATATTGCTCAGCATTTCATAAGTTATAAAGAAGACTTTCAGCCGTGAGCATCTGCTTATAAAAAAACCATCAAAATGATTTCCCGATGTAATTTCCTCTGACCTTATTTGACACAATGTCAAGAGGTTTTCTCATTGACAAACCTCTATGGGCTTTGTTAACTGTCAGGAAGCACAACCAGCTGCTTGAATGTTTGATTACTTTCTGAATCCAGTTATATTATATGGAAACATGTCAGGCATTTCAGCTCTGATTGGTCCATGTCATTTCAGCCACCTGGACCCATAACTGTTTTGTGAAGCAACAATGTGAACAAAAAACTATTTGGAAATACTTCTAAGGATTGCAATGTCATGATCAAGTATGGATGCTCCCACTGACCCTCTTTCTCACTCACATGGACTTTATAAACATTTTCTTGCATTATACAGACCTGTCTGAGGAACGCCTCCTTATTGGCCAACTCGTTCTCCAGTTTGTCGTTGATGTCGTGCACGGAGGTGGACTCTCGTTGGGCGCTCAGGTAGCGTTTTTCCAAAGTCACAATGCGCTCCTCCATGTCCTCTTTCTGACACATGGCCTGCATGCAGACACACATAGTCAGAGCAATCAGAGCAAAACGGAAATATGAAAACAAAGACGAGAGCATTCTTAAAACTATTTGGGCAATGTGTTCCAGTGTTAAGTATTTTGAAGAGTATGTTTCTGATTGCTGCACAGTGTGTTTCATATTTCAGCTTTATATTTGAGACATATGTTGCTCGGATTCTAGGTAAGGGAAGTTTTTATGTAGCACATTTCAACAACAAGGCAATTCTAGGTTTAATACTCACAGAAGGATTCATTTACACTGCTCTAAAACTTCATTACAGCATGATTTGTGGACAAATAACTTTTGTTCTTGTGTGTAAACACAAAGCGGTGCTGCAATGAAGCTTTTGTTATCAAATTAGCTCTATGTATAACATGACAGTATAATCTACACCAGAAACATGTCAAATACCAAATGATAAACAATAAAGCTTAATAAATTAGAAATCACAATCTCACACTGCTGCCATGAAACATGAGGGCAACATTATCTCTGAAGCTCTGAGAGTTCATTTCCTGAATGACGCACACCCATGCGCCTGTGTTTTTTAAAACCACGTAGAGCTGAACAAACTGCTGCTCTCAGAGGAGGTAATAACACTGGGTTGGTCTGATAAGGCCGTATTTACCAGGCCACAATCATCATGTCTGCCTGCAATGTTAGCAATCAATAGCAATTCCAGCCGAGGGCTATATCAGCGTGTATTCATATTCAGTCCTCTTCACTGGCATTCAAACTGACGACCACTGAATGGGCTTATGATTGGGCTCCTTAATTGCACTGTATCACAAACACAAACACAAACAGTCTAATTTGTCCCGTAAAGTGGCATTAAACTGTCTGTTTTGGTGCTTTACATTGCCCTACTCTAGCTTGAAATGGTGCTTGAGATTCAAACAGTGGCAGCTGCTTGTTTCTTGGGAGTTATTTTTTGTTGTGTAAGAGTGTGTCATTGAGATGTGTATACTGTAGGTTGCCTACTGGCAGTGGTGTAAAATAACCAAGTAGGTTCACTCAGGTACTGTACTTAAGTCAAATGCATTGCTACTTTGTACTTCCACTACAATATTTCACTTTTACTTCACTACATGTATGTGGTACCCTTAGTTACTTTGTAGATTCAGATATATGATTGTGAATGGGCCAATCTGCTGAATGACTACTTTTACTTTTGGCGCTTAAAGTACATTAAGAGGCCAATACTTTTTCACAATGTAACATTTTGAATACAGGACTTTTACTTTTAACAGAGTATTCCTACACTTCGGTATTTCCACTCTACTAAACTAATCGGATGCAGAGCCCCCCATATTTTAGCATGGCATGAAAAACGTATGACATTTTGCCATTGGAGACACTATCACATGTGCTTAGAGGTTCTCCTAAGGAGTGCATACGGAAGGGTATGATCTCCAATAGCAATATTCTTGCAAGGTACAGGGCTTATAAATGATATATAGTTCATTTAAACCCCATTTTGTTGTGACTACTATGGCTACACATTTTATTTGCTATGCTTCAGTGATTGTTCTTGTTTTGTGGTTTTTAGAATCTCTTATCTTAACTGTTGGTATTTTTGTTGCATATTTTTATAACTGTATGAAACAGGCTTTTTAATAATTGTGTACTTTAAAAAAGCAGTGTGCCTTACACTATGTGTGTTTTTGTGTATGAGGAACACATGAATAGGGATTGTGAGAGCATATGCAAATAGAAGCTTTTTTTAGGCCACTGCTGTCTTTGATGTCTCTCTTGCAACCGTTATTCCCCTGCAAGTGTGTGTGTGTGTGCGTGTGCGTGTGCGTGTGTGTGTGCGTGTGCGTGCGTGAGTGTGTGTGTGTGTGTGTAGGTGTGTGTGTGTGTGTGTGTAGGTGTAGGTGTAGGTGTGTGTGTGTGGTGTGTGTGTAGGTGTGTGTGTGTGTGTGTGTGTGTGTGTGTGTGTGTGTGTGTGTGTGTGGTGTGTGTGTGTGTGTGTGTGTGTGTGTGTGTGTGTGTGCTTCTCCCTGTCCCCAGAGTGTGTGTGCTGTAACCTCTTTGATGTCCCTCTGGTACTTGTGGTTCATCTCCTCCGACTTGATGAGGTCCTTCCGGGCGGTCTCCAGCTCCTGCTCCACCTCGGAGACGCGAGACGAGAGGGAGGACATGCGCTCCTTCATCTGGGCCAGCTCGTAGTTCTGCTTCTCCAGCAGGTCCTGCAGCTCCACCACCTGACCCGCATCGTGCACCGACTCCAGAGAGCCGTTGGACAGACGCTGGGGAGAGAGGAGCAACCTTTAGCTTTAGTTGGACAAAAAAAAAAATCTTTGTTTTTCATTGGCCTTACAAAAAGCTTACTCAGGAATCTGGCAACTGTATTTCTTAAAGATGTTAAATAAATAAGTAATATTATTTTAAAGATGAAATTGGTTATAATTTGTGAATTGAGTCCAAAGTGTACTATTAACAAGTTGTAATCATTTTAGTATTTTTTTTTACAGAATCATGATATTTTAAGAAAAAGTAGTTTTTTGAAGTAATAACAATAAGGAAAAAAGTCATACAACTACTGTATGAGATCAAATAAAAAAATGTCATAGAAAAAACAAAAAAAACACAGTTACTCGTTTCGAGTGGGTCGCGGATGTGTGAGTGAAGAACAAAAAAAAAAGAACAAAAAAAAGATTGGAATTATTTTTTATTTTTTTGAGGGAAAAAGTCAAACTTTTATTTTGAAGGCCCGATTTTCTAACGCTGTGCATGCAGCAGGGGTTGGACTGGAAGTACCGGAGACCATAAACGGTTTTGAAAACTTCTGTCACGTAGTGATCATCTTCTCAATAAAATATATTTGCTGATGTTTTTTCGAGTCTTCTGGCCAATCAGAATCAAGATTGTTGCCGGAAGTCCCCACGGAGAATAACTCTGCAGTAGAACTACTCTTTATACATCCATGGGTACAACTTCAGATAAAAATGAACACATAATGACCCCCGGTTTGATGACTGACCGGTCACAGAACAATGGGAGCTATCTACCCTTACCCACAATTTAAAGTAAGTCACACAGACTATCTCCTCTTTACTCTTCTCGCAGCAAGATGTCAGAACAAAGTGAAAAATAAACAATGGCATAAAATATTATTAATATGTCGGGTAGTAATAGATTTATTTATTTTCCTCCCAGAGTGTACCAGAATGCATATAGTTTATGTTAGTATTTCTAAAAATATCCTGGGGGAGAACCCCCTGCTGGGGTTGGGTTTTCAGCATGCGTGCCTTTTTATATAGTTCAGCTTTGATTCCATCATCTCATTAAACCTTTTTTTAAAACATACTTTAGTATTTAGTATTTATATATTACAGCACGTTTTTTTTGTTGAATAGATTTGAGTGCTTCAAAATGTTGGGTCGCGATTTATTGACCAAGTAAAAAGTGGGTCCCGAGGCCTGACCAGTTGAGAACCACTGCTTCAAAGTATACCACAAACAGCACTTTTTCTTACAGATTTCTCTATTGAAAACCTGTTTTATCCACATTGAAACTAAAAGTTAAAAGTAACTGGAAACATCCAACTCTAGAAATAGGTATTTAACTTACATTAGCATGTGGAAATTAACCAGGTGGAAAACTAATTTCTGATTTCCTGTGATGCTCTCGTTTCAAGTAAGCCTTGAGAAATCAGCCTTGCTGCTACTTCAGATACTATTTCTTCTTTTGAGAGGTACAGCCATTAGCACTCTAATAAATTCATGTTAGGGAGCCGACTCTGCCCCTGCTTTGATTTGAGATGGTGACAAAGACGACTGAGAATCACTCCAGACTCCATTGGAGAAATTGCTTTGACACTTGCATTAGAAATATGATTAGGTTTCGCTGAGTTCTCACTGCACGGGTCTCTGCATGAGGTAGATTAATGATGGGGAAACTAGAAAGATCTGACTTGAGGAAGGGTTTGAGGCATCAGAAAACAACTGTGATATCAGCTAAACTAAACGCTTTTTAAATAGCAACACTTGGTCTTTAAGTTCAAATGTAATTATGGTAAAGCAAGTGGAAAGGAAGATTGAGTAAAGTGATTTCTCTCTCTGTCTCTCTAGTGTTTCAGGCCCAGCTGCCTGTCCTCGGCCATCCATCTGTGAGGGCAAATCTAATTGGGTCCTCTGCCTGCTGCCTGTGATCAATTATAAACCCGGGCAGGGAACGAGACCCACTAAATCAGACCACCGATTTGAATATCACTGCTCCGGCATTCTCATAAAAAGAGCCAATTTATAGGTTTTAGCTAGATTTTATTGTAAAAATATCTTAACAGTCCCACAGAGGATACATTTTGCAAATGCGGAAACAATATTTATTTAGTTGGGGGATATTATTATAATTTGGCTGGGGATAATTGCTGACCCTCCCCATTGGTAGAGGCCTATTTTTCAGTGGGGTTTATTTGACAGTAACTCACTCAAATATAAAACAAATGTGAATACTGTTCAAACCAACGAGTCAATCAAAAGCATTTGTGAATATCTTATTTAACATTTACAACTTTTGGTTAGGCACAATGTTGAAGGAAATCTACCTCTATATAACTATAGTTTTCTCTTTTTGCTTCAGTTAGGTGTAGAGTAAGCCAGTCAATCTGTTCTATAAGAGTGATGGTTGATACAAATATTCCAGGACCTGCTGGATGTTTACTGAATAAAAAATGAAAATGGTGAAGCGGGCTTTGTCGGTCACACTGCATTAGCTGCTTATCAGCAGATCCAGGTCTGTGCTGAAGGTCTGAGAGCTCCATGGGTCAATACGCTCCTCATGAGCTTAGCTTTCTTCACTCTGACTCCTGCCCCCCCTCTCACTGACCCCTCTCCGCCTGTCACATTAATGACGCCTGAAGGACACGTGGGATGGAGAGGGGAGACGGGCACCTCTCCTTGATGACAGCCGCTGTCAATTCAGTTCTGTTTTCCCCGTCCATCCAAAGATGCACTTTATGGTTTCCTCTTATCAGCAATGACTTGTTAAGTATAGTAAAAGTGTTTGATTTCAATTCTAATTCAAATGATATTTTAGTTAAAGGGGTCTGATTTTATATTCTCATCATTATTTACTATATAGAACTAAATCTCAGTTAATAGTTTTGATCATTTGAAAGAAAGAAATTAAACTGGGAGTTCAATATAAAAATGTTAAAAATAAATAAATAAGCATTTGATTTTTTTTTTCAATTCGAATATTGTTTCTACCTTTTGAATATAGTTATTATTTTCATTTTTTACTTTCATATAAAATACAATATTTGAGGTATTTCCTTAAAGATTTTATGTTTTCAGATTCAGATATAATTGTTTAAGGTTTTAAATCTCGTCTTTTCAGTTTAAAATTCAAACAAGCTAAATTAAATCTTAAGTACATCAAGTATATGTGACCGGACGTCACGTCTCCTCCCTCTGTGACGCTGCTTGGCACCATGCCAGCGCACCTGCTATTTTGCGCACCTGCTATTTAAGTGGAGGAGACAAATCTGCTCCCTCCCCCTCCGCTTCTCCTTTGTGGCCGCGTGGATTGTTTGGCGTGGCAGCTCGCGCATCACACTCTCTACCAGACAGGTAAAACATCTTGCATTCTGTCATTTATTCATGGGCACGAGCGACACCCGGCTTGACACTACTCTGTCTTAGCGCAGCTGACGCCCGGTGCGTTTGAGGAGGATTGGCTCCTCCGGAGGTTCCCGGTCTTGCAGTGTTGCAACTATTGGTGAGTTGCCGTTGTCTGCAGTATTCTCACCTTCAGCTTGGTTCCTCTGGTGTACTGACTGTTATTCATGTCACAGTGGGATTTGGCCGTGGGATTGTTGGGTCTCTCTCTCCCTTCCCTGTGGGCTCTGTGGCTGCAACTGACCGCACAGGCTGGTATGTATGAATTTCCCCATAGATAACTTTTAATTCAATAAACTTAAGTAGGCTATTCACCAGTCATTTTAAACCTCTTTCCAGGGGTGCCATAAACATTCTCCCTTCCTGGTGGGCTCTGTGGCAGCGCCTAGCTGTAAAAGTTGGGACGCTGTAACTACTCACCTCAACACATTCCAGCTGTTCATCTACATCTCAAGTACATTTTGCACAACACAGCCTGCATTTTATTACTGCTGACTTCTTCCCCCAACTCTTCCCCTCCAGTAAGTCATCAAAGCCTCTCCATTGATCCACCCAGGTATCCTGTTAACATGTAGATGCTGTGTCTGCATGTTGAAGGATTTCTGCTGTGGGATTTGGAGTCAGCTGTTTTGGGCTCTCATGTGGTGTCAGTTTTGTTAATGTGGAAGCAGTTACTCCTCTGTCTCTAAATTAATAACCAGAGAGAGATTTGTATTCAGCTATGCAGGTCCACGTGTGCTGCTGCATAATATCACAGTGCTGAGGTCACTTCTGGCTGTGGGTCACCTTCACAACCAGCAGGGCTGAATGTATGGAAACCTTTTTAAGATGTTATACTGGCAAATAAACACCAGAAGGAACGCATTGAGCAGTGTGTATTACCAATAAACTGTGATTTTGAGGAAAATAAATGAAAACTTAGAACTAATTTTTAAAAGAGTTTTTTTCATATTGTGCATATATAAACACATTGTTTTAGAAAGACTTTCAATGCATCCAGATCCATAGTGACAATTTAAGGTTTATGTCCAATGAATTGAGAATAGCAAATACATTGTGTCGCTTGTATGCCTTGTCCTGTTCAGGAATGACATTTTTTCATTGTGTTCCTATTTTAAGCTCCTACTTAGACGAATGAAAAGATCATCTAGTTTGAGTCATATTTAACACACATTTTGACAATTGTACTAGTCAGTCTAAAATGTAAGATTTGTTTTCTACTAGTTATGAGGTTTATGGTAGTTTCTTGTACTGGGTACATTTGGCAAACCAAATCGGTAAAATGCTTGCTTGATAAACAGATTTCATTTTGTGTTATATCTGCTATGTGAGCTTAATAATCAACTTTTTTGCCTTGTTAAATTGATACTGAGCTTTACCAACTCCAGTCTGCTGACAAATGCCAAATGGTAAAAAGACTCTCCTCCTACACTGCCGCTAAAGTAAGGGAATAAAACAGTTTTGTCCATGTTTAAAACATAAAATATATGTTATCAGTGTGGTCAGAGAGGTCTCACCTTGCCATGGAGATTCTGTTGAGCCTCACTTCCCTCCAGTATGTCCTCTCCGTCCCCAGAAGCCACTTTTCTCTGAATGTGAGCATTTTGTTCCCGTAAGGCCACGATCTGCGGGACGGCAACAAGAACACAGATTAGAGCAGAAATAGACACACAAAGTTTATGTTGCAGTTAAAGAGAGCTGAGATAAAAACGGTTTAATATGTGTTATTGCATTTCCTTCAATGTGGCTTTGCGACAGAAGCAGAACATGTTTAAACATCATGAACATGACATCAGCATCAATAATTGTTCTCTTCTGTAACACCAGTTAATGACAGTATGTCCCTCTCTACAGGAATGTATGGAAGATGGCTTTAAGCGGCATGAAGCTGAAGAACGTGAGCACTGATACAATCACTGTAATTATCATGTTGTGTGGACAGAGTGTCTCGTTCCACTACCTTAAGATACTGTCCTTAAGTCATAATGCTGTCAGAGGGGTGACCGACAACAACCATAATTACAGTAGCCTTTTCCTCAACTGACACCATGTGATTATCGCTCTCCTCACCGCCAGGAAGAGAAAGACTGGGCCGCTACTTGTCTCTAATAAATAACTTGACGACCCTGAGACTTTGTGGTGCCTCTCGTACTTTCCAAAATAAGACTTTCAAGAACATGACACTTGTGGGATTGAGACAAATCATTGTAACTGAGCAAAAATGTCAACTTCTTGTGAGACACCCTCCTCTTACTTCAACGCAGATTTGAATAACACTACAGTATTTTGGTTTATCACACAGCCACACTTCCCTAGAACCTCAGGATATACTTTTGTTTGTAATGTGTGGCAGTCAGTTAGCCTATCTCTTTTCCCTTGGTTTTTTGTGAATTTTGGCTTGTAACATAGAATTAACAATTGAGTAACAACACTTACATTGCGTTATCCTTCTAAAGAGGTTATCATAAACTGAAAAACTGAATGAAACAGGTAAGCAGGTCTGACACTAAGGACTATTTTTTTATAAGTTTTGGTTTTGCCTTAACATGTATGAAATTGTGAAAAATGCCCATCCCAGTTTCTCAAAGAGATGCCTTCAAATATTTTGTTTGTCAGTTCAAACCCAAAGATATTCCCGTTAATATGAAATCAAACAGAGAAAAAGCAGCTCCATATGTGGGCATCTGGAAACATAATTTACTGCCAATCTGCTTGAACAATTTCTTGAATCAATATTTAAAATAGCTGGAGATTATTGAGTTTTTCCATCAACTAATCTATTAGTCCACTAATGGGTTCAGCAATAGCTACAGTATACAGTAGCAAACTCCAGAACACAACAGCCAATACAAACGGCAGTATATATGCTGTACTGCTAGCACGATGTAGTTACGGCTGCATTATGCTTCCTCCACTCCATACATTTCCAATAGCTTTGGAAACGCTTAACTCTCTGAAGACCCCAGGACTCTGAAAATCTGCATGATATTCCTCTGTTGTTCTATTTTCTTAAAGGTCATTCCAAGCAGCCCAGGTACTGTATCTGTTATTCACAGATTCACGGTATAATCTACAGTATTGATACAGTTTATTTTAAAAATAAGTTGACATTACAGTTACTGGAGAGTCAGCTTTGTTAAAAAACGCATCAAAATATGCTCCTCCATAGGAAGGGAGGGAATTCAATGAGACAGTTAAAATGACCTCGAGTCACTTTGACATAATTTGGTTTTAACTCAAATCCTAAAATGATTTTACAGACATGGCATTGTCATGAATTTTGAAAGGCAGGACAATGAAGGAATAATATCTCCCATACAAAAGGCACAGGGTTAACTCTGGGCATACTTATGTTTCTGTATCATTATTCTGAGAGTGTTGGTAATTTCTCCACCTCACAGATCAAACACTAACCCCACCCCTCACAGAAAGTCACAACAAATGAGCTCCAGCTCTGAAAGTACAAAGAAGGAGAAGTTTGATGCAAAATGAACATGGCGCCTATAATTTCTTTTTTTTATGTGGTTGATCTACCTCTCATCAAAAGGCAGACATCTGACGGAGGACAAGTAGCACGAGTCGGGCCTTTTTACTGCACCGCTTCGTGATTTCCTTATCTTTCCTTAGCACTTCTGTGTTGGGTGGAGAGGACTGTCTGAGGTAATGTGATGAAAGAGAGATTGGACAAATGTGAAGAGGAATGAAGGGGGGTTTTGGGGGAGTTTCTCAGAGTATGGAAAATTGATTTTGTCAAGGTGAGAGCTGGGAGTATGTTGCTAGGCGCTTAAATTACAATCAATCATGCACTTTGGAGCAAATGCATGTACACAAATATTCACAGACATATATACACAAGTCCTGAAATACTTCTTATTTAGGAGGAAAAGGAGTTCATTCTGTTTTTGTCTGAGCCTGTGTTACCTGGGGGTTTCCTTTGAAAAAGAGAGCTATCACTCGGGATTAGATCAGGCAGGATAAAAAAAGAAAATGTTCTCTCTGACAACGTCTTCCATCTTACTTAGAGATGTGATCTCATGGCTGTCTTTCTTTGAAAAAAATATAATCAAATCTAATTAATTTTTCTCAAGAAATGTAGTAAATCATTTTAACTTCAAACTTTGTTTTAAAAGCTCTTTTCTGCACACAGTTTTGTTTATTTTGCAAGAAAGATTTCTAAATCTGCTGTTTTTCTGAGCTCCTCTAATGTCACATACTTTATTATTATTATTATTATTATTATAGTATTTAAATCAAATCTGAAAACAGTTGTTGGGTTGGTTGCTCATATCAACAGGCTTCTCATGTCAATCAAACTGAGTTTTTAAACTTTAATCTCTGATTAAATTAAAAAAATGTATGTACTTTTGCCTATTCAGTCATGAATATTCAATATTATTAAGTAATATTTATCATGGGAAATAAGGCTTTCAAGGGCTTCAAAGAAAGAATATTGTTGGACTCAACAATGAACAAACATTGCTTAATAAAATACTTTTATAGTGTTTATCCCATTATTATTTTATCTCTTTCTAATTGTCAAGAGACTTTGGGTGAAAATGAGCTGTAGCACGTTTACATGTTAGATTTACAAAAAGTGTCACAGTGTTGATTAATGTCCACTGTCCCCACAGTTTGTTGGACAGTTAATTGAACAGTTTATCTTCAGATAGATTCCAACACAGTGGGTATTTCAGTTTGTTCCGTAATATCAGATTGCAATCAGCAGCAGTAATCAGCTGGTGGCCACTTAAACGCCCATGAGTTTGAGAGGTCAGAGGTCACTGATTACATCTGGCATCATGACGTTGTCAAACCCCCCGCGGGGACTCAGACCTCCATCACAAATCAATTACCGCTCCGCCTCCCCGGAGCCTCTGAAGTGTGGCTGCTTTTCTTCTGAAATCCTGTTTCACTGCCTGGAGGTCCAATCCCTCATCTGTCCTCCGCTCTGACAGCTGTACTGCTAACCGTTCACCTGAGGCGATCACATGTACAGTCTCTAACCTGTGCAATGTGAGGAAACCGCACAAAGTGCTACACCCTCCACTGAGATGTCTGGCAGGTACTTTACAGTTAAAAAGCCGACGTTGTCATAAAGCTGTAAAAGATAAATGCTTTAGGAACAAGCAGCCTGTCATACTCTTTTTTTACTTTTCTAAAATGTCCTCCCTTTCTGATCGTACAGAATCTAAGTTACAATAGTGACTGTTGTAAAATCATCAAATTAAGATGACATTATAAGGTGTTTACTGAGTTGGATGGTGCTTCTTATGGTATTTCTTTTTAATTCAACATGTTTAAATAGTGATATGCACAGTAGAAGATGTGTGTAATAGAAAGACATTACACTCACTTACTTACTTTAAAGGTCCCATGTCATGCTTTTCTGGTTATTACCCGTCCCCTTGTGTGTTATGAAGGTTTTTCTGCATGTAAACGGTCTGCAGAGTCACAAAGCCTCAAAGTACACCCTGTAGCGAGTAAAACTCTAACACAGAAAAGACCTGTCTATGCTGCCCCAGAACGCCTCGTTGGACATTTCTCTTTGTCATTGTTTACTTCTTGGGTATAGTGACGTATTTGGGTATAGTGACGTAATGTAACGGCTTCGCGGATTGGTCCATTTGGACCAATCTACGTTACGTCCGCGGAGCCGTTACGTTTGAACCAATCCGCGGACTTCCTCACACACACACACTCGGCGGGACATTGCGAGGCTCGCTGCTGTGAGGAGCGGGACAGTGTGAGCTGGCTCACTGGTGTGGGGTCGGCGAGACAGTGTGAGCTGGCTCAGACAGCGAGACACCGCGGAACTCAGTGTGTGCTCAGGCTGAGTTCCGCAGTGTCTCGCTGTCTCGCAGACAGCCACTGGGCTCACAGGCAGGGGGGGGGGGGGGGGGCAGGAGCTCTACTATACAGATATGATAAATGAGAAACCAATGTGAGTTTGGAAAATTGCACAATATAAATCTATTTTAGTATACCTCAACAATGGAATTATGATCAGTAGAAATGGCCATGACATGGGACCTTTAAGAATATCATTGTGTGATTCTTATGTGCTAATGTTTATCTATATTTACTACTTCTCACACTTCTTAACTAAGATTGGGAAAATTCCGTATTAAGAAGATGTGTTGCAATGTTGTTAGTTACACTCTATGTGCACCAACAGTATGACATTCAACATCCTGATATGGCCTCCCTAACTCCCTAAACTTCCAGAATGCTCCTTTTCATTTATAAATAAATTCCCACCACAATGTGAAGGCCTAAGAAGTTATGCATACATACGTTTTATTTATACAAATAGTTTCTTATAATCATACCATCTGTGATTCATGTTGATTTGGCACAAACAACCGTTTTAAAAAAAAATTTGATTTCAAACTTGGTAATGAAGTATGGTATTTCTCACTGTAGCCCCCTTTATAAGGCCTGAATGCAACAACATCACAATAACGCACAGTCAGGGGGAAGTATCTAGAGGCACATTAATTACATCTGCAGTACCTCAATAGTCCTAAATAATAATAATAATAATAATAATCCTTAAAAGACAAAGTGCTTAATTTGCTTGACAATTTGACTGCAGCCTTGGACTCATACCCTAAAGCAACTATCGAAAAACCAAAGAACAGTTTGCCTCTCTGACCTCCCTCTCGTCTGCACACCTTGTCAGCCGTGCTCCTCTGACCCACTCATTAACACACACACACACACACACACACACACACACACACACACACACACACACACACACACACACCACACACACACACACCACACACACACACACACACACACACACACACACACACACACACACACACACACACACACACACACACACACACACACACACACACACACACACACACACACACACACACACACACACACACACACACACACACACACACACACACACACACACACACACACACACACACACACACACAACCTGCTTCCCACCTGCCATCTCTATTTCTGTCGTTGCTCTTTTTGCATTTCCTCCTCTGTCTGTCCTTACACCCACTCTGCACGCCTCTACCCAACCTTTCCCCCGCTGATTTCTCTCCCCTTTCCCTCTCCTTCTCCTCTCCTTCTCCTTCTCCACTTTTATTCTAGGCCGGAGTGTCAGACTGGCATATCTGACAGGCTGTGAAGTGCCAGCCTGAGGGCCCCCCCTCATCTGGAACACGAGTGTCTGCAGTGCAGTAGCTGTTCTCAGAGCTGGGAGGGAGGGGGGGGGGGGGAGTTAGGCCACCATTGCAAAAGTCCACTCTCCTGTCAGCTATACGCCTCAGCCTCTTATTTTGTTATATTCCCTGTATTGTTAAAGCAAGTGAAGCCTGCAGAGGTTTATAGGTGAGTTGATGCAACATTTAAATAAAAACTTCACACTATGTGTTACAGATTTCCTTCCACATACACAAGCAGTACATAACTGTGTACATTTGTTCTGTGAGTTGGAATTTGGACGCATGTTTACATGTACAGTGTGCTGCAGTATGCAGTTTAACAACATTTTAATTCAATCATTTTACAAATATATATTTTCTTTTTAAGGCTTTCTTTTTACTTACATGTATACATTTCCTTCTGGCATTGTCTGACATTTTTATTCAATTTATTTTATGTTATTTATTGGTTTCCAATTATTTCTGATACATGTCATGTTCAATTATATATACTTTGAACATCCTGATACAAATGCTGTTCATGTATTTCAATTGTTTGTGTTGTTAGTAGCTCTTTTGTTGCTTTTCAGTTTCAGTGCTTTTACTTGCACTTTGTGTCTGAATGCACCTTCCTCACAATAATCCAAAACAAATATTCTAGTGACATTTAAATTCTATATTTTAGAATGAAAACAACCTGTGAGCTACTACTTGGCATTTGTTAAAAGAACTATGAGTTCATCTTGATTGAGATTTGAATATTCCACATTTTTTATCCTAAATAAAACCAGCTGTGGCAGCTCCTACCTCCTGATTGGCTGCTGTGAGCTCCTCATCCAAGGCGGAAACCCTCTCCAGTGACACCCGTAGTCTCTCTCGTACCTGGAGGAAAAAAGTGGAAAACCAAAATGGATCAAGATTTACCAGTATATATATTAGGGCTGTCAACGCAATTTTTTTTTTTGCCACTAATTATTTTAACGTGCGATTAACGCATGTGTATTTGTCCTCGGCCCGCCCCGTAGTTTCAGAGCCCAAAGGCTTGACGTTGTTGTTGTTAGTTGGATGGTGGGAGATTCTAGAGAGAGATATGGATGCAAAAAAAGGCGTTTTAAACAGCAAGCCAAGCACACAGCTGATGCTGACAGCCCCACTCCTGCCGCTCGCTTGCGGCAGACCACGCTTGAAAGTTTGCCGGGGAGACGCCTGGACAACAACAGCGATAGCTAAATGGGTGGCTACAGTTTAACATTGTGGAGGACGAGGTGCTGCGTTAGATAATTCGGATCGCATCCAACGTGTCGACTGCATCACAGCGCATTATTTTGACCCACAGAGGGAACTTCAGTCTCATGCTTTGACTGAAGATGAAGACAGAGGAGCGGCATTTCACCGACAACTGTAAACAGGCTTGTCTGTTTGAGCAACTGGCTCAGTGCAAAGAAGTAGACGAGAGAGGTTCCAGGTTGTTGTGTTGAGAATATTCAGGAGAATATTTGTCATTGTTCAAATGATAATAAACAAACATTTGCATAAAGCATATTTGTCCACTCATATGTTGATAAGAGTATTAAAAACTTGAAAAAGATTCCTCTAAGGTACATTTAGAACAGATAAAAAATGTGCTATTAATTTGCGATTAATCGCGATTAACTATGGACATCATGCGATTAATCACGATTAAATATTTTAATCGACTGACAGCCCTAATATATAAATATTTACTCTCGAATTATCTTAAGACTGACAGCAAAGGGTCTGACAGATCAGACGCTCCCATTGCAAAAAATCTAGTCAAGGCAATAAGGGGGTTAACAGAGCATACAACCCCTCCTATTTCCTCCCTGACAATATCACTTTGTTGTGGCTTCAAAGCGGCATTTCTGAGGCTTTTATTGCTTTCAAAGCTGCGAGGATATATCCCCTCCTAAGTTCCTCTGTGAACTCAGAGCGTCTTCTTCTGGGAGTCTGTCGGCTGTAATTGAGCGATCCCTCGCACATATTGGATGTCCGCGCACCGCCCAATAGGATGCCGGATCTCAGAGGAGCTTGATCCTTGATAAGAAGTGAGCCGGGGTCCGAGGCGGGACGGCCCCCCTGCCGCCCAAGACATCTTTTATTTCGCCGAACAGCATGTGGTTGGGCATGCTTTATAAATGAAGGCTTTTAGAGGAGAGGATGAATGGATTACAGAGCTGCTGGTGATACCACACAGGGGGCTTGGGTCATACATCAGCAGGCTGTGAGGAGGCAGGAGGAACGCTTGGTTGGAATCTACAGAATGATTACACACATTTGGAAAATATCACAAAATATAATATCCAATGAAATATTTAAATGAATGGTTGGAAGGCAACTTTATGCCTTCCAACCAAATACCAATAACAATATGAGAGGAGACATGCGTTTGGTTTGGTGCTGCTTAATGGACAGAAATGTGATCTTAAATATCTATACATATAGTGTATACTATGAAAAATGTAAGCTTGATATCATGTGTTTTCTAATTTGTTTACTTTTGATGATTTTACGACTTGGTATTCACTTGTAATGCTAAGGGTATTGAGTTTCTTCCAATAAGCCCCAAGATTGATTTGCTTCTGTTCTTTGTAGATTCTTTTTTCTGCCGCTTTGTTTATTGAGCCAACTAAAATGTAAAATCTGATAGTAGATCCTTAATTATAGTTTTAATTGCAGATTTAAACGACCAACAGGCTGATTCCTAATACTTATGTGCTTGCCTCTTGGGCAGATTAAAAAAGCTGCTCTAATGGAGACTTTTTTATTGTTTAACTCAACATTCATCCAATCAATTTATATGGACACGGTGCAAGAAAACAAAGTTAGTTTAAGCAGGAGCGCAGAAAACAGAGTGTTTAAAGATAATATAGCCCTCTTGTGAGTTATCCAATCACATCACCCCTGGTCAAAGAAATAACTACTCACTTTATGATGAACAAGTTCCAAAATGTACAAAAACAAAAATAAGTCTTAAGGTATAAATCCTATAACGTCACTAATGGAGCCTTACCTTCTCATCTAGGGCTTTATGGTGTTCGAACAAGGACTTGAGCGCTTTGAGGACCTCGACCTCGCTGGAGACCCCCGAGGGGGACTGAGCCTGCCGCTTGACCACCGTCATGCGGAGCGACCGCTCGTGTCGGGACACAAGGCACTCCAGATGCTCCAGCAGCAGCTGAGGAGACACAGGGGGAATCACTGTTAATATCATCATCATAACCACCATCATCATTGGAAACATTTGAATTCTCCTCGCAGCAGTCTCATTAAGTTATCTACCGGTAAAATGTGGGAATAATGCTAAATGAGAAAGGCTTAGCTGCACACCAAACCTAAGCTATTTACCCTGTTATTTATTTAAGCAGTATTGCAAGCGCTGGAAGAACAAACAATATATTAATTTGTGTTTTATCAGGCTCCCTCAAACAACATAATGAGGCTACCATATAAATAAATAAAACAATTATAATTCATTCAGACTTAATCTTAACATTTGTGGATTAAGAAAATGCCATAAAGTACCAGTCATTTAAGGTAATTATGGCATTTTCTAGGGGGGACATTTGCTGTATGTGTAGCAGCTTTTCAGTAAAGGTATGAGAGGTGCAAGTAACTGCAGTGCCCAGAAGGGGAAATGCTAATGTAGGCTGCAAGGTAGCATGTAATTCAACTGCCAGCAGACAGGTTTGAACAGACAGAGAAGATGGGAAGCAGAGCTAGGGGGAAGACTGTAGGAAAAGAAGGTAACTACAACACAACAACAACAACAACAACAACAACAACAACAACAACAACAACAACAACAACAACAACAACAACCACAACAACAACAACAACAACAACTACTGGGAGTAAACAGCCAGGATGTGACTAGGAGAGAGATTACCAGTTTGGCTGCAGAGATAAAACATCATTCATGATTTGTTCTTACATTTTCTGGATCAGAATATAATCATCTGTAATTTCCCCTTGTGAATCACAGGTGCCAGAAGCAGTTTTGAGGTGATGCACTTTATTCTCTGGCGGATATTGTCCAAGGACATATACATCTCCAAGATAATAATCTGGTTTGGAGAGCTCAAAATGACCTCCCCAATATTTTCTTGGAAAAAGCTTGCTGTTTTTCTCCCAGATTAATCATTTTATCTCTAGTCTGAACATCGCTAACTGAACGCTGACCAACAACCTGCAGATGGATTTAATGTATTCTGTGTTTATACACTGATAAAGTTACTGCTCGGTGCACTAAAGGAAGCTGCGAAAGGAGACTTAAGTGTCGTATCTTCACTTGTTTATCTTGTACTAGGAGTCTCATCAGCAGCCATCATGTCTACATACTCCTGCAAACTGTGGAATTAAATCAGAACAAGTATTTACCTTGAGTTCTATCTTAAAGGTAATCTATTATGCAAAAGGCACTTTTGATGTCTTTTATACATAAATATGTGTTCCCAGTGTGTAAGGAGACTCACAAAATACAACCCTCTCTCTTTTCCTCCTTACCCACATCTCTAAAAACGGGGATACTATGGAGCTGACCCAGATTTTCTGCGGACTTGACGTCATATTGGAAATGCGTGACGTGTTTTGGAAGTAATATGGTTGGTGTTTAGATTTGCAAGCATTGCTAACACTCAGAGCTAACGCTCTACTGGAGAAAATATGTGTAAAGAAGCCAGATATAAAAGCATGCAGATGCTCCAAAGGGGCGTGGCCAGCAGCAGCTTGTTTCCATTTAAAGGGCCAGACCCAGAATCAGCACTTTTGTAACAGGGCTGAAATAGAGGGGTATGAGTCATGCTAAAATGCATTATCTGTTTGGTATTTTGAGCAAAACACTTCAGAGCCATGTTTTGTATAGATATGGCCATATAATACATTGTTCAAATATAGTATAATATGGGACCTTTAAGTGATGAACTCAGTCCTCTGGCTCTCTGCATGACTCTTGGATGGAATGATCGTCTAAAACAGCTGATAGAGTTAACTTTTCTCTCCACTGTCATCCCATCTGTTGTCAGCTCCTCTGTCCATTAACTGCCTGTACACGCCTTCCAAGATTTAATTATGAATTGCAAAAGCCTACCAGAGACAAAACCCAGCTTAATTAAAAATGCTTGGTAATTGCCCCTCAGAAGATTCTAAGTGATAATCAAGTGCGAGAAAGAAAATGACTTTTGTCCGTCTCCGCCTCGCCTCCCTCCTTTCTGTTGTTTTTTTCTCGCTGTCGTGCTAAAATCTTCTGCCTACACTCTGAGACAGAGTGCGAGACTGAACACAGCCACACTTAATCAGCAGTGGGGATGGAAAACAGGGTCTTATCTGTCAACAGCAGAGTGTGCTTACTGATTTAAAAAGCAAATGTTTTTCATTGAAGACACAGTCCGTCGGTTCCACAAAAATCGAGCAGACCTGCTAATGTCTTCCCATCAAATACTATGCTGGACACTGCAGGGCATCAATGCCATTTGGGCTTAGTGTTACGTATGAGCAGCCATCCATAAGCAAGTGGAAAAATGCTCAGGCGGAATGTGGAGAGCTAATGAGGTATGTTTGTGCATTGGAAACAGACAGTGGTTGCTTCAGTGCCTCTGCAGCTTTAAAACCGTAGCAACAGATAGCTTAAGCTTCCTCAGGACTCAGTCTATCGCAGTGTGCAGCAGGCTTTCTGCAGCACACACAAACATTTGGGCCAAGTTGTGCAACTCATGGAGTTCAAATGTAAGTGGCTTGGATATCAAATAAAGAATCATAAACCTTGTTTGTGGTTTAAAATGTCAAAACAACATTGAGGGATTGGCCTGCTGAATGCCTCAGATAAATTACCATCATAAATCAGTGAAAGATGAATGAACTGTGGAATCCAATTAATTGGTGGCAGTGGAAACAGTTTGGAAAATGTTTTAAGATGTGTGTCAATGCTGTCCTCACCCTGGTGTTGTTCCTCTCCGCCTTCAGCTCAGAGATCTCCTCCTCCTTCTCCAGCAGCTGCTCCCTGCAGGCGTTCAGCTCCTTGGTCAGTGCAGCGAACTCCTGAGAACAAAAAGAAAGAGAGCAAGGGCATGGGTCAGACTTAGAACGTACATTGTCTTCAAACAAGCCAAGACATTTTAAGTGATGAGTTTCAGATGAGTTCCACCTTTTCAGTACTATACAACTTTTATTTTTTTGTCGGTGTTATGTTTAATGTTTACAGTCGGAACAGGTGGGTTTTCATTCTGCATTTGAAGATGTATACATTTTCAGCATTTTTTAAGGAGCTTATGCTTGAATTTTAGAGCCAATATATATATATAGCTCACACTCAAGCTACACCACAATGTCCTCCTTCTTTTGCAGCCTACAAACTGCAAACAGATGTAACAAAAATAACAGATTTTGATACAGAATACAGTTTTATAGCTCCATAGTTAGACACAGAGATGTAGGTGGTTTCCCTTCTGGCAAACACGCTACTAATACGATTCCTAGCATATTATCACATTTAGAACAGGTCAACCAGGCCATTGACAAAGGTTCATCTATAGTTCAGTAGGGGGAAGGATTGACAAAATCTAATGTTAGTCTGCGGGAGGAAGAGCATTGGTGGACACAGCGGTGCAGGCAGGGAGCCAGGTGTAGTGGATTTACACCTCCACCCCCCTGATGACAGCACAAAGGACTGGAGGAGGACTACTGACCGAGCACAGCACTATGAGAAACAGCTGAGAGGACGCACTGTGAGTGATGGAGCTGCATCACAGATTGCAGTTTTAGACACACTAATATTTTTCCGAGGCAGACAGAATAAATGATCTCCTTGAGGTGTACTTCAACGGCCTGACTAATACTACTGAATATGATGATGATGATGGAAATAATGATGCATTACAAGAATAAAGAGAAGGAGGAATAGGAGTAGAAGAAGGAAGAGAACCTGCATTTACCTGTAGGGATTATTTAAGGTCTATTTTATCTTGGAGTAAGAAGGAGGAAGAGGAAGGGAGAGTATGAGTAAAGGAGGGAGGAGGAAAATAAGGAGGTATAGAACAAAGTGAAAGGAAGCAGGGAATTTCGAGGAGAAAGATTAAGAGAAGAGCAAAACAACAACGGGAAGAATGAGAAACAGAGGAAGAAGTTGGGAGAAAATAAATGAATGAGAAAAGGGGAAAAAAGGATGAGAAAAGGAAAAACACCAGTAAAGCAAAGAACAATAAAGAAGCTGAAGAACAAGAGAAGAAGGAGGAAGATAAGAAAACAAGAGGAAGAAGAGGAGGAGCAAATGAGGACAAATGCTGCTCCTTTAGGTGGAGCTTAAATTGTTTTTGCACTTGAATTTAAATAAACACTAAACAAACTCTCTGTTAATATGGCCGGTAAATCTGAAATGCAGCATGTTGTGACATTTCCTTCAGTTTTTCTCTCTCAGTTTTCTGCCGGTGGATACTGACAAAAGATGAAAACATGCCTGAACTGCATTTATACACCAATCACTGCCCGGCGGTCACCAGGCTGCTCCAGACCCAAACCACAACAACAGTGCCCCAGCGTTACTGTTTTCCACACACAGTTTTGACTCATTCTGTAAGCATGTGACAACAACACTATAACAAGAGTCAGGCGAAGAGACAGCCTGTCGCTCAGGAAGACTTCAGACCTTCGTTACCGGTCTAAAATAAGCGAGGAGCAGACTCGTCTCTGGAGCGGGTCACATCAAACATCAGACACACTGTCTCTGTGACTCATGAGTGATAGGACTGGATGGGTTATATAATATATATTAATATAAAACCTGTTGATGTGACTCAATAACCACTATGCTCTTTGATTGCAGAAAAGAAAGGGAAAATTGTGTGTATATATTTAAGCATGCAGATTGTGTAGCATTGCAGAAATATATACAAACAAGACCTACATACAATGGCCTGCCTCTCAATGTCAATGGATTCATTTAAATGTTTTATTTAACCTTGGTCAGAAAAATACTAAAGCATTAATTGACAAATTATAAATAATCGACCATTAAGTAAAAGAGGAAGCAATATTTACTTCTTGTTTGCAGGTTTATATTTGTTGCTATTCTTATTATTTCGTGTAATTTAAAGAATGTTTGGGTTTTGGACTGATAATTGGACAAACAAGCTATTTTAAATATAACAAAGGTTCTGGAAACTAGTAACAGACATACAATACATATATGAACTACAATAACCACCTAGGGGCAGTATGCCTCTGCCAAGTACCCAAGTTACAGTTTATGATCTTGTTCAAACAAAATGTCACTTTATTATTTTTTCCCATTAGACATTTAAGCAAAATGTTGGTAATTCCAAAAATTGTATTTGATGAGGTCACAGTGACCTTGACTCTTGAACACAATTGTTTTTATTTTAACCAGTAGTCCAAGTGGACCTTTATGCCAAGTTCGAAGAAGTCACTTCCAGGCTTTCCTGAGGTATGCCCTTCACAAGAAGGAGATGGAGAGACGTACATAAATATGAGTTAATAATACATCCATTCTCAAAGCCTTTCAGAAAAAGACCACTAGTGATCTGTCTATATAAATAGACATTGTTATTGAAAATCCATATACGATCTTGCCCTTCAGGAGGCCAAGATAATAACATACAAGCTCAAGGAAGTGGGAACATACCGTGTATGATGGCAACAAATGCTTACAGCGCATAATCCTCTACAAAACACCGTGAAAATGCCCAAATTACAACTGACTTACTTTCTGTTAAGTGATAGCTTTGAAAAAGTCAAGTAGATTCACTTTTGTAACTAGAAGTAGTCAAAACATTCAAAGGAATATATTATATCTTTCCTTCACAGCTGCAGGATTTGGTCATAACTGTCTTTAAATCCAGTTCATTTCCAAGTGGATAGCTGTAGGCTGTTTTTCTAATTGGACGGGTGTGAGACCAGTTGCAAAACTGCTGAAACCCATAGCGGTCATAAATGTTTCTGGCGTGTTCATTTGAGATAACGGTCTGTGTTGTCATGATTTCATTATCTTCTAATGAACTAACATTGTGTGGTGCTCATGCAAATGTTTTGGATGTACAATATAATTTGAATCCAATATAGCCCTTCTGTCCTGGACATGTCATTGAGGGAATGGGGCGGAGAACAGTTTTTAATTGGGCTTATATTGCTGTTAACTATAAAGCAGTGAAATGACTGTATCATGCCACCTGAGACCAAACAGACTACCAGGCATTACATTGCTCGGAAAGTCAACAAGACAAAGGTCAAACTGTCCGGACAAAATGTGTCTATTATACGTAAGGGTTTGGTGATTTATCAATTACATCATCTACAGATGAAGATCAGGTCAACTGTCACCACCCATATGTTACCATAGCAACAGAAGATGAGGGGAAAAAATGGTTGGCGTGGTAACCAATTCATCTCTGTAGAAAGTTGACCTACAAAATAGCAACACAATGAGAAAAAGATAACAGTTTGTTAAATCAGATTGTAGGATTGTAAGTGTTTTAGGATGTATACATTTGTTACATTTTAGAAAATTCTGAATATGTGCACATTGATTTTTAATATTGCATATTACCATTTACATGTATTTAGCTAAATATCCACTACCCTATTGTTCTTTGTCCGACAAAATGACCCAAATTCCCCAGAGCAGTCATAACACCTTTTCACTAAATTATGTTGCAAGTAATCTGAAAATTAATCTCTTGTTTCATTAAAACAAAACACTTCTCTGCCTCGCCGCGTTAACCCAACTTGGTTTGTGTGGTAGGTCAGGCACAAAAAAGAAGCTTAGCACTCCCAAATCTCCCCCCAGAGGAGTAAAGCTAATCACAGCCACCTTCTCTTAAGAATAAACCCTTCTGCGAGTTGCATCATTTGCTTTAATGCCGGTGAGATCAAACAATCCCTGCAGTGCTACAAGAATATAAACTCCAACTTCCCCAGCAACAGTCTACAGTAAATTCTCCCTAAGAGCTGAGTTAAAGAAAAGGTGTGACCCGTGGGACGAGGACATGTTTAAGACGGCCTCTTCCTAAAGCCACGCTGGCAAGAACCTGATAGAATGAGATGAACTGAAACATCATGTCATAGTGGCTTACAGAAGATCCTTTATGCCTACTCTAAACTATAGATATTATCTTTCCAACCCACAGAGAGAAGTTGTTGCATATGCATGACGATGTTCATAAAGAAACTGGATGCTGGTCACACAGAGTGTTAGCTTAGTCACCTATGCTGACACCCACTTTAATTAACTTCTTCACGCTCTGTGAGCTAGGCAATATCTCAAGCCACAAGTGGAACAAATCTTTATATGTACAGTCTATGTTACAAAACCATAAGCACACACAGGCTTGGAGGGAAAACAAATGTATAGGACACGATCAGACAGATATCAAACAAGACATAACAAGGCTCTAAAAAGACAGCAATTTACCAGTAGCCTAAGCTAATAATGTATAGGTAAGATAAAGGGATTTCTAGCCAAGTATATTTAACTAGATCATGAACTAGTGTGACACTTTGGGGAAAAACTCCTACTCTCCTAAATGCTTACTTTAAAATGAAAAAACAACAACACCATTCTCACATCTATGTGTCAAGTATTAAGCTAGCATTAGCACAGAGAGCAGGGGCAACCTGCTACAGTAGAATAACTCTTTCCAAATCAACACAACGTGCTTCAGGATTCATTTAGTAAATTGTTGTTGTTTAATCTTTACAAAAACAGTGATGTAAAAACAACAATTCATCAGTCATTTGTAAACTTTGAGAGAGCATGGAGAGCTAGCTTGTTTATGCTAGCTAAGCTAATTGCTTTATGAATAAATCCATATCCATATATTTGTATCTGGTTAAAAAGAAAACTGGAAAAAGTTTTTAAAGTAATGATTTTATACTGACAACAATGTCTTACAGTCTTTATGCTTTATTAGTGTTGTACTATAATAAAAAAAGACTATAGAATGATTTAATAAGAGCAGATCAGTCTTTGGCTTGTTTTGTTTTTTCATTTACATCACACTCTGGTTATGTTATTTGAGCTGTATCCA